AAAAGTTATAAAAACATCTTGTGTTTTAAAAAGATACAAGGCAGAATTAAAATACAAAGCAACAATTCACATAAGTTTGGAGAGGTGTAAATGGAGTTAAAGTATTCAAAATTACTTGTATTAGCACTATACATGAACAGAGATGGAAAAGTCCTCACCAAAATATTAGCACACCAGGAGCAGCAATGTATAAAACAAACAAATAACCATAGTTCAATCTACCTGAGAAATGCAAGGTTGGTTTAACATGAGTGAATAATGTAATGTAATTCACCATATTAACAAATTTTTTAAAAATTATCTCTGGGGCCAGCCCTGTGGCATAGTGGTTAAGTCCAGAGAGCTCTGCTTTGGCAGCCCAGGTTTGTGGGTTCAGATCCCAGACATGGACCTACACCACTCATCAAGCCATGTTGTGGCAGCAACCCACAGACAAAATAGAGGAAGACTGGTACAGATGTTAGCTCAGGGCTAATCTTCCTCAAGCAAAAAGAGGATGATGGCTATGGATGTTAGCTCAGAGCAAATCTTCCTCACCAAAAAAAAAAAAAAAAAAAATTATCTCAATAGATGCAAAATAAGCATCTAGTAATATTCAACATCCATTCAGGGTAAAACTCAGAAAATTAGTATTGTAAGGGAACTTCCTTAACAAAATTGTAGCAGAGAGACCCTAGGGTTACCCCATCATATCTGCCATTTGGTGTTCTCACCTTTTATAATCCCTTTCCCTTGAGTGTGGGCAGGATCTGTGACTTCAGAATATGCCAAATGTAAAGGAACTTTGCAGATATAATTAATTCAGTTAATTTTGAGTTAACAAAAGGGCAACTGTTCTGGGTTAGCCTGATTTAATCAGGTGAAACCCCTTAAAAGAGTACTGAGCCCTCCCGGAATTGAGAGATTCTCCTGGATGGCCTTATGAAGTAAGGAACCACACTGAGGAAGCCAACATGGCCAAGAACCATGAACAGCCTTGCTGTAGACTGAACATTTGTGATGCCCCCGCCAAATTCATGTTAAATCCTAATGCCCAATGTGACGATATTTGGAGGTGGAGCTTTTGGGAGTTGATTAGGTCATGCAGGTGGAGCTCTCATGAACGGGACTCATGCCATTATGAAAGAGGCCTGAGAGAGATCCCTTGTCCCTCTGTCATGTGAGGACATGGCAAAAACACCAGTGTCTACCATCCAGAAAGCACTGAGTGTGCCATTGCCTCGATCTTGGACTTCCCAGCCTCCTGAACTGTGAGAAATAAATTTCTGCTGTTAATAAGACTAAAGTATTTTTTTATGGCATCCTGGACAGACTGAGACCAGACTCTAGGAACCATAGGCAACCACTAGGTCCTGAGGGCAGCCTCCAAGTGAGAGCCAGCAAATAGCTGGGGAGATAAATACAGAGTCATACAAGGAAATAAATTCTGCCAAGCAACTGAATGAGTGTGAAAGCAGATTCCTTTCCAGTCTAGCCTCCAAATGAAAATACAGCCCAGCTGACACTTTGATTGCAGACTTGTGAGACCCAGAGCAGAGGATTCACAAACCATCCCAGACTCCTGACCCATGAAAACGTGCAATAATGTGTTTGTTTTTAAGATGCCAAGTTAGTGATGATCTGTTATACAGCAATAGAAAACTAATACAGCAATAAATGATAGCTACTTTTTAAAATCCACTATCTACATAGTTATGGAAAGATATTCTGTTTCTCCTTTGGAATTCCAACAAGGCATGGATACCGACTATGCCCAGTTTTATTCCACATCATTCCTGCAGTAGGAAAGAAAAAGAAATTAAAACTCTAGGAATTAGAAAGGAAAAAACAAAACTGTCACAATTCATATGTCTGTATGTGTAGAAAATACAAAAGAATCTGCAGGTAAAATATTCAAATAAGAAAAAATTAGAGAGTTTAGCAAGATAGCTGAATCCAAGCTCAATATGCAAAATATCAATTTTATTTCTATAACCTAGCAGCAAACAGAAAATGAAATTGATTTTTTAAAATAATATTTATAATAGGATCAAAAGTGTCAAGTAACCATGGATAAACCTAAAAAATATATTCAAGGCCTCTATGGGAAATTCTTAAACATTGAGAGTTAATCAGACTTTTAAAATATTAATAGTTTGGAAAACTCAGTATTATGTCTTTTCTCCACAAATTACCTAGAGTCGATGCAATTCAATCAAAATCCTTGCTTTGTAGAGCTTGACAAGTCAATTACACAAGGTATAGCTCTTCCCAAATATTTCTGTTCAGAAGCATGGGGACAAAACCAGGGAGTGGTGGTGGCCCAGATGAGCTGTTGGGACCTGGATGGAATGAGGAAGGCATCAGTGAGGGAAGGCCACAGTGTACAGTTCTGGAGCTCCAGTGAGAGCATCCCTGAAAGGTGGGCAATGTAGGACGAGGTATCAAGGACTGAACAGGGTCAGTAGGCATCCACACAGGGGCAGGACAGCCCAGAATGGGTTTTCAGCGCCCGAAGGAGGAAAACCATCTGCAGAAGAGGTGACCTTGCACAGGGTATCTGAGAAAGGATGGGGTGAAGAGGGCAGGCACTTGGGAGGAACAGGAGTGGACACAATCTGAGGTGGGGTATTGGAATCCAAGTAGGAGTGAGGAGGACATGTACATAGTGGCAGGGCCAAGAGTCTGGTTACATAAGAGAGGACTGAACAAATAGCATACTGATGATGGGAGCCAGCTTACTGTCAGAAAAGGGAGTAATAAGAATTGAAAGGGAAAAACTAGAATGAACCATGTGGGATTGGATTGGAATTGGAAATATCAGTAAGAATTCATGGTTTCCAATATATTTTGAGATAGAACTATAGATTAATGTATGCAGGCATGTATGTGAACTTAAGTACACACACTTAATTCCCTGCTGTTCACCGATGGGGCCTATGAGCAATGACAATCCCTATAGCAATATGCACACCTACCACAATTAGTGCCCAGATCTTGGTTTCTAAATAGCACTCTCCCCTAAAAGGAATCACGGCTTCTATGAAAAGTGGCTGATTTCAGGGCTGGGGCAGAAAAAATACACAATGAGCTTGGAACACCTTGCTGTACCAGAGAGCAAGGAAGTGCTCAAAGAACAATGGGGACAGGTCAAAAAGACAAGAAGTCAGCCTGAAATGGCTACCACTGGCCAAATCTGGGGCAATTTAAGAACCAAAATCACAAGCTTTCCCTTCTCCTTTGTTTTTCATTTTATTTATGAATGTAGAAGCAATGACACACAAGAAAAACCATCATTGGCAAACATCATAATAATAATTGATTCAAGCGAGAAGCATCAATGGATGTGAAATCTAGTGGGTGGAATTTTGAGGAGTAACCAAATATTTCCAAAGTCTGATAGTATCTCGACACAAGATATTTATGAAATAAAAGGGTAAATAGTAATTTTACCATGGACAAACCTGGCAGACACTTCTTAACCAAATGATTGAAGTCAACATCACCAGTAATGGAACCAAGCACGTGCCTCCAGATTTGATGCACTGGGAAGAACTCAGCATCACTTATGTGACATTCCTGCCCAAAAGTCATAAACTGGATCTACTTAGGAAACATCACACAAACTCAACCTGAGAGAAAGTCTACAAAATAACTGACCCGTAGTCTTCAAAATGTAAATGTCATGAAAATCAAAGACTAAAGAACTGTCCTGGATTAAAGGAGACTGAAGAAACAGGAAAATTGGACACAATGCAGCATCTTGGATTTTCTTTGCCTATAAAGGATATTGCAGTCATGTGTCACTTAAAGAAGCAGATATGTTCTGAGAAATGCATTGCCAGGTGATTTTGTTGTGCAAACATCATAGAGCATCTTTACACAAACCTAGATGGTATGGCGCACTACGCACCTAGGCTAGATGGTACTAATCCTATGGGATTTAGTACCCACTGTCATACGTGCAGTCCGTCATTGACTGAAATGTCATTATGCAGTGCATGACTCTATTGAGACAACTGGCAAAATCTGAATAAGGTCCACAGATTACATATTAATATCAAAGCAGTTTTAGCCAATTTCCTGGTTTTGATAACTACATTACAGTTATGTTAGATAATTCCTTTTCTCAGGAAATATACACTAAAGTATTTAGGAGTAGAGGCATGATGTCTGAAACTTACAAACAGTTCAGGAAAAAAAAATCTATATTATATACCAACATTTATATTTATCTGGAAAGAGAGGAGAAGGGAGAAAGGATAAAACAGATAGAGTAAATGTTAACATTTTGGGAACGGTATCCAGAAATTCTTTGTTATTCTTACAACTTTTCAATAAGCCTGAAATTCTCAAAACAGAACGTCTAAAAGAAAAATAAATTTTTAGAAATGATATTAACAAATTATAACTCATTGAATAAATCAAGAATCCATATTGATAATAGTAAATGAATACATCAAAAGTTTGATGAGGAACAGAGGTATTTACATAGTCTCAAAGTTTTTCCCCCTCAAAATACTAAATTATAAAGTGGAAAACTAGCATTACCCGGCAGATACTACCCTCAGTGGTCAGCATTCACACCAGCAGTACTGGGACAAATCAGAATTGTGGGTCACATGATCAGACGCGATGAGAAGAGTTCAGGATCACTTCTGCGATACTCTTGTGAATAGGTGTGGTCTGAACCGGTCATGAGGAAACATCAGAACAATCCCCACTGAGGGATGGTCTGCGTTACTGGAACAGACCCGTCAAAAGATCCAAGGCCATGAAAGTCAGAAAAGTCTGAGGAAGTGTTCCAGACTGAGGGAGACTAAGAGACATGGCAACTAAATGCAATCACGGATCTGAACAGGATCTTTTTGCTGTTGACGCCACAGACAAGTGGTAAAACTTGAAAAGATGAGGATTAAATGACAGAATACCTTAGTGTCAATTTTCTGATTGTGAAGGTTGTGCGGTAGTTACGTAGAATGTTATGATTTGTAGGAAATAAATACTAAAGGAATCAGGGATGATGGCATAATGTCAGCAATTTATTCTCAAGTGGTTCAGGAGAAAAAAGTTCTTTACTAAAACTTGGAACTTCTCTCTAATTTTAACACTGTTTCCAAAAAGTAAATCAAAAATAAATAAATAGAAAAGGCAAACAGCCTTAGGCAAATTTTATTTCTCCACAAGGAAAGATCTATGAATCAGTATTTAAAATTAAAATTATATATAAAAAATTTTATGGACTGTAACAACTGTGACACATCCAGACAACGACAATAGCCACAGCAGCAGCATTTCAAATGATGTTTGTCTAAATCTTTAGGTCCATATATAGTGATAAAAATTGGAAAATACAAATAAGCTATCAATTAACACCATTAAAGTGTTAATGACAACTTGGTTGTTTGGGTGCTGTTTAAACAGCTGGTATGTGGGCAGTTTAAGTATGTAAAACTCAGTGCTGGTTTTCATTCACAAAATCTGCTTAAAAGTTAGTTCGATGCCAAGAAACAATTTAAAATACTATATAAATAATCATCATACACGTAAGATATAAAAATATTTTACTTTAAGATTTTCATATGTCATATGTATGATGGGAAACAATTAAAATTTTATATAAACAGCCCAGTAAATAAATTTTTATATTTATTTTTCAGATCATATAATTTTTCTTCAAAATCTGTACATATTCTTGTGACGTTTTCAAAACTAGATCTTGATTTAGATTTGACTCATCAGTAGATCCCAGAGGAGAAGCTCTACAGGGTCCAGATTCAAATTCAGCAGCAGCTGGAAAGAAGAAGAAAGAATTATAGTCTTTATTTAAAATACTTCATAGTTAACTAAGCATAAGTTAGTAAAAAATAGTTGAGGCCTTTGTAAGTGTTAAGAAAAATGAAAAATATCTATATACGGCTATAATACAAAATACAAGATGACTATGAAGTATAATTTGCCCAGTGCTGCACACTGAATTAATTGCTATTGTGGTTAAGTTTCAGAGCTTCTGGTTTTCTCATTCTCCACTTCTTTATTCAACAACGATGTGCTAAGGTACTGTAACAAGCACTGGAGTTATAAGACGAAGAAGACATAGTCCATCCCTCAGCAGGCATGTGCTATAAACTGAAAACAGAGACGAACAGGCAGTTTCCACACAGACTCATATATCCCGTGACAGGGATAAAACGGGGCACTAGTGGAGCACACAGCAGGGACTCTCAGTTTTGTGTTACTGTTTTCAGCTTTTTGGCGGAGGTGAAATGTAAGTTGATACCTGAAGGACAAGGAGAAAGGGTGTCAGACAGACAGAGGGAAGAAGCACATGCAGAGACTGGAGGGGAAGAACATTGTGGAGTGACAAATAGCCCAGTCTGGGGAGATGCCAGAGCAAAGAGGCAGAGGAGGGTAAGGAGCAAGAGATGAGGCTGAATAATTTGGCAAGAACCAAAGTGATTTGGGTGTTTTTATTCCATGCTGAGGAATTTGGAATTTTTCCTGTGGGCAAAAGGTAAGCAAATGACATCATCAGTGACTGGAGATTTAAATGTCACCCATCAAGTGACAGTTGTATGAACTGTCATTGCTTGACTAAGTATGACTTAATGATTCTGGTTTTTTGGCCTTATATCACTACCAGAAACATGGGAAGTAGATGAAGCCCATGTTTTCTGAGAATAGTTTCAGGGTGCAGGTTGACAGTTCCATAGGGACGGCAGAAGTGAAGGGAGGGGATAGCCAGAAATACAAAGGATACATCGACTTTTGAGATTTTTAAAAAGCTAGGGAAGAAGATGACTAAATGAGGAAAAAGTATATTCTTCATTATGAATGTTTATGTTTTCACATTTTTCATTAGTTATGTATAAGAAAAAACATTTAACACAGTATCTATTATCCAAACAATGGAAAGGGATGCCATTTACTATTTACAGTTTATTTCAGAAATCACTGATGTCTAAATTGATAAATGGCAACATACCTTCTTCTAGTTCTCTAGTTATATTTTTTTCCAACTCCTCCTGCATCTGAAATAAGTCAAATATTATTTATAATGTTTAAGTTAAACAAGAGACATTATTGTAGGAATGATGTATAGCTTATGAAATAACACTTTGAGAGACTAGACCTAATTTGGGGATTGCTTAGATAGAAAAATAATCACATTAACAAAATAAAATAAATTTCTATATATTTTAATTTTAAATAATAGAGAACATATATAAGTAATGCTATTTAGATGAATCTGATAACAAGTACGATTAGTATTGGTCCACTGAAAATACATAACTTTAAAAGGGTGATGTTTGATCTTATTGGTACAAAGAAGTTTAAACAATTCAAGTCACAGTTCACACTGAATTCACGACTTTTCAATTCTTAGAAAAACTGCACTTTATAAAAAAGTTTAATCAGTTTATTTTTTACTATGGATTTTTCCTTAAAATAAACTTTCCATTTTGCACTTTTAGAAAGTTCAAATCTTAAGGTCTGATCTATGTTACTAATTTTTCAGCAAAGAATCTTAAATATACAAAATGAAGAAAGTTGCACTATCATAATGTCATGTGAAAATTTTATTGGCAAAAAAATTAAGTAAAGATATTTTGCTGTCTGTACTATAACTGAAACATTTCTTTATTTATATGGACACAATGATTTCAGAAAATCTGCCTGAAGAAAGGAAAAAATAAAGACTAGAGCCAGTTTTTAAACTTGGTTTCTGATTCATGACTTTCTAGAATTAGAAACAAGGAAAACAATATATAACCCTTTAACGTAACATGTTTCCTTTCTAGAAGTCAGGGCTGATTTTTTTAAACATTTGACTAGTTATAGTTATCTACTTAACTATGAAATGTGTGGGGCAATTTCAAACTATATTACAAGTGTCCCCACCTAGAGTGTTTTTATTTAAATCTTGCTTATAAAAGGTATCCTCTCACTAAATGCCCCAAACAGCGTCACGGTGATAATGATAATGTGACATCCAATATCTTTCCAAATTTTAGATGTAAAGAGAAATTTTTTGGCTAAATGCTTCCCAAAATTTCCATAAAACTTTTTTTTTTTTTTTTTCCTTTTTCTCCCCAAAGCCCCCCGGTACATAGTTGTGTATTCTTCGTTGTGGGTTCTTCTAGTTGTGGCATGCGGGACGCTGCCTCAGCGTGGTCTGATGAGCAGTGCCATGTCCGCGCCCAGGATTCGAACTAACGAAACACTGGGCCGCCTGCAGCGGAGCGCGCGAACTTAACCACTTGGCCACGGGGCCAGCCCCTCCATAAAACTTTTTGATCATAGCATTACAGACAGGCCTTATAAAATGAATAATGTGACAACATTATTACAGGCCTTGTAAAATTAATAACTCAGTACCAAATGAAGGGAGAAGACCTTATTGAAACAATTTATATCACCATTAATAAACACTATGTAGACCACGGTTTTACACGAGTTTAATTAGGAACTACTAATGTAATGTTACCATATTTCCCCTAGAAACTCTTTTCATTTTCTTCCAATAGAAAGGTTCTATTCTTTGAAAAAAAATTTTTTAAGGCATGAAAATCACTGATTTAGTCAAAATCCCTAATTTTACATAAGCGGGAAGAAAGACTTGGCGAAGGTGTAGCTTGCCCGAGGTCTGCAGGCCAGGAATGGGCAGTAGGTCTTCTTACTGAGCCTAGGGTTCCATCCCAGCTACTTCCTCATACTCAGGAAAAATAGAGTTTTAACTCTAACTCAGAGAAAATGAATATATAAAACTGTCATGTAGCTCAATAATGTTTAGACAGGAGACATGAAATAGTAGCTTTCTAACTAAATTATATGTTTCAAAGACATGAATAAAAATAAAGGAGCCAAAATTAATATAATTCCTATTAGTAGCAGTCAATATTCTCAATTTATAAAGCTCAAATTCTTTTTAACCACAGGAGGAAAGTTGAAGGAGAAAATCCTTAGCGAACCAAGCAAGCTGAAATTGAGGAAATTCTTCCTTAAAAGAACTACTCATTTCTTCCAAATAAAACTTAGTTTACCAAAATCAACCAACAAATGAATTATCCATGTTGTGGGTTATTTAGAGCAAAATTTCAAACACAAAACAAGTTTCTCTTTACCGTCTAGCATACTTCTGTCCAATCATCAATAGCTGGTGTGTACAAAAGACACGAGCTTAAACAGAGTTATAATTCAAATCCAGTCAAAACTTTCAGGAGAACCTTCATTTCCCTGGCCTCAAGTTTCCACGTGAGGACTTGGACTCTCTCTACCTTCCTCTTGAGAGGGGGGTACCTAGTGGGTGAATTTGGGAGAAGGAACTAAGAAGTGCTTGCTTGGTTCCGAGTCTCTTTTTCGCAAACACTGTGGGCCCACAGTGAAGTGCACTCGGGTCTGCTCTCCTCTCTGCAGTGAGCAGCCTGCCCCTGGGGCAGTGGAGGGGGAGGGGGAGATGTGGAGCATTTGGGTCCTCGTCTTACAGCTGTGAGGGGAAGGATCTAATTGAGGATGAAGTGTTTGGAAGCCCCTTGTGGCTGCGCACTTCAACCACATCCTCCACTTCGTTAGCAGGTGTGAGTAACAGAGCCGGTAAGTTACTCTCCAGCTGCCTGACTCCCATGTTCTGAACTCAGAAGGGGAGAGGAGGGTCATTTGCCACCTACCCCTCCACAGCTCCAGGAAGGATGACTGAAAACACTAATAGAAATGTCTTCTTCCTTGACCTTATAACTAACGTACATTCTTCAAAACAACCCCCACTTTAATGAGGGGGAAGGTTGAAAGGAACACTTTAGAGGGAGAATACAGTGGAGCCAATAACAACAGCAAAGCACAGCAAATGCAAATATATGTTCATTCATTCAATGATACTTTGTTGATAGGCTATCATTAAATTATATTTGAGGTTACAGATTGGAAAATAATGTTGCGTTCTCTTTTTTGAGACCAATTTGATAACCATGAACATACCACACACACACATTTCCAAAGTTAATATATTTTCAGAAACTAATGATACTTCTAAATTAAAATTTGGTATCATTCTTTTTTAGGGAGTATTCAAATGCTACAAAAATAAATACGAGAAATATAAAAATGTAATAAAATCAAGTAAGTTTGCCCATTGAAACCATTGCAATTCACTTCCCAACTGTAAATAGCTTAATGTATGAAGGAAATTACACTTGTGAGTTTGTAAACATTAAATACATGTATCCTGCTGCAGAGAAAAGAACTGAGAGAGAATTTGTTGATCAAGGAGCTGAAAAATTAAGTACAGAGAAAAAAATGAATGAAAGAAAAAGAATTGGAAGAAGTTGAGAGATTACTGAATCTTTCAAAGGATAAAATGACTACTGGGCATTTGTCTAAGTGGGCAACACAAGGTAGAGACATGAGGGATTACAGAGAGATATAACTGATAAAATAAACAAGTTTATTAAACTCTGTCTCTGCCTTATGAGAAACTAGTGTAACTACTGTGATAGTTTGATTAGAGTTGGAATTCAGAGCAGACAGGCACTGCCTTGGTGATATACACAGGAGGCCAAGTTCTAGTTGGGAAGAAATGACTCATCTGTTGAGACAATGTTCTATCATGTAAAAGTTGAAGTCCTGGGAATATTAATTGTTTTAGCTTTGATGTATTTGTATAATCATAGAAAAAGAGTTGCTAAACTGAATGGCCATTTGAGAAATTTAAAAATTACTTAAATAAATTATTAGAAAAATTTTTAAAGTGTCAATAATGCACCAAAAATCCAAAATCAATCAACATAAAATTTCTAGAATCATAGCTAAAAATCTTTAGAAATGTGTTGTTTTGTAATGCCTCATCCAAAACCGCACTCCTCTCTGTCATTTTAGGCAGTGTGTCACCACCTCTCCTAGCAGTATTTTATGTTTTCCTAGTGGAAATTATTAAACTCCTAGCAAGTGAGAGGTGCTTCTTTGGGCAAGTGTGATGAGGGATTCTGCGGGCAGCAGCTGTGGGAGCAGCAGCTGTATGAGAACCCTGGCAGGGCTCCCTGCAGTGGTCAGGACGCCTGTCTTTGTCTCCATAGGGGAGGGCTTAGAGCTTTTCAACCTCTCGTATCAAGTCTGGCATGGTTTGGCAAACCAATGCTTCAGAGGGAACTATGTATACCTTGGAACCACAACATTAAGTTTAAAATAAAGTATTTTTCAATTCATCTAGAAATACTAAAAAATAAACACCTCTTTCTTCCAAAAAAATTAAAGAAAAGATATCCTCAAAAATCTTCTCTTCCATTGCTTCTGCAATTACACTTTCATCTTCATCTTGCAAAACGATATGTTATCTGATTTTTTCTGGTGAGAACTAATATGAACATCTTTCAGGGAGATGAGACAAATTTGAGGGCTCACTCTCATCTCCTGGCTGACATCACCCTAAATAAAAACCCTTTCCTTGCCATAAGCCTGGTATCCAGTTTTTATTTGGCCCCTCTTGTGTGGCAGGTAAAGAATCTATGTTTGTAGCTGGTAACAAAGGCGAGATATACAGACTTAAGTGAATTTCATTTTAAAAATTAAAATATTTGCTTGCTCTAACTACTTAAAAAATGTTCTACAATTGCTCAGTCACAGACATTGTTTTATAAAAATGCTACAAATAAAGTAGTAATTAAGGATGTACTCTCATCTAAGAAAATGACAAAAATTTTAACTTAAAAACAGAAATTAATCTTTTTAGTGCTCCAAGCTTATTTGATGAATAAAAAGGATTTACCTTGCATTTGTTTAAATAATAAACATCCATATGTGGTTAACTGTTTGGATGCCAATCATTCACGTATGCTGAGGGATGGGATGGAAAAACTGGGGTGCGCCAAACTTTAAAATTCTTATGAACCACCGCCAAAGTGAAATCAAGAAGAAAGACAGCCAAAGCATCTCAAAGCATAACTTTGGTCATTAGGCAATAATATTTCATTTCTAAAACTGAATTTAAATTCAAGCTTTTCAAGAAATTTAAATTGTGTTAGTTACATTTACTGAATAAAGGTAATGATAGGTATCTCCTGAAAATGAGGGATCCAGGGACTTAAAAAAACCTGTAAAATTTCTGTCTCCTAAAAATTATTATGACTTTTACTTAGAGTGCATTAGTCAATCAAACAACTCAGAATTTCACCAAATTCAAAACAAGAATTCTATCAGAATCTGAAACCCAAAGGAACAAAGATAGTATGACTCACCTTGGTCAAGTAAGTCTCCATGCTGTTATTTGAGGGCCGTGGCCGTGAGGTAGGAATCACTAAATCTTCTCTTGGAGTAAGATTTCTATTGAGCACTAAACTACTATTATGATTTCCAGCACAAGGCGGCTCCAGGACCGGCCTCGCAGTCAGAGCACTGAGTAAAGACCTGTTCTGCTCTTTCTTCAGCAGAAGTTCCGTGCTGGTCTCTGCCAGCCTCTCATTAGTCCTGGGAAGGTTGCAAAAGACCAATGCTTAGTATTTCATGTTCCCTAAAATGATTCCTGCATGACATTTTTTTTTTTTGTTAAGTTGCCATAATAGTAAATGGAATTTTCCATTAAACAGTGTGTTAACACTGAAAATGTCTCAGAGCAGACCTACTACATACAATCATAGGTTTAAAATCATTCTAAAGAAGTACATATGTTTCTAGGGGGTTCTCAACTAACAAATAATTCAAAGTAGGGAGGGGAGAGAAATGGCCATCAGTGCTGGAGATGCCTGAACAGCTGCCGTCCGCAATGGCCCTCCTTCCAGGATCCTGGAGGATGCCATTTTATTTAGTAAACCAGTTCAGAGATTTAAAAATAAAATCCCTCAAAGACATCTTCAAGCATTTGCATTCATCACCCTTGTACCTTTCACTCATTACCTCAGAGAAATGAAGCATTTGGTAATTTAGAGCAACAACCTCTAAAGGAGAAGGAGACAGCCAAGCTGGGCAACTAGCTCCCAACCTTGTCACCAAGGCACTGGAGGTGCCATCTGCCCTTTCTGTCCTCCACACCCGCCTTAGGAGACGGTGGTATTGTTTTCAGCCACTCTGTGACTTACAGTGCCCTTCATCCCTAGGACAATCTGTCCCTATTCACATGGATCCCTTTATAGAATAGAAAAACACGAAGAGAGTTTGTCTCAAGGGACCCTCTAGGAATAACACTGAAGAGCCCAAATCAAGACAGTTCACCAAGCACCAGAGTGCGCCCAGAGTGGTAGTACTTGACCCTTTGGGTTTAAGATGTAATCTTACAAAACACAGTTAAATTTCTTAATATTTCTATTTAGAGGAATTCTGACAAGCAATTTTATAATAACATTGCTGTCTAAATTATAAAGCTTCAAAAACATTGAGCTAAAACACTAGTAGATCAGGTTACTATATGAAAATATTAAGGGGAAAACATAAAGTCATGTAAAACCAAGAAAAGGGGGAGAGATGCAAACTGTCCTGGACTAACATGTTAAAGCTAAGTTCATTTACTAACATCATTATCCATAATTATACCATCTAGTTAGCTTTCACTTCCTGCTAACCTCATGACCCTGGCTTGATAAAAATTATGCTTTAGAGGAAATTACTGAGCTGAATTTACTTTCTATGATTCTATGTTTTGACTTACTTGTTTAGTTTATTTTCCAATGATTTTCTAACTTTTAATTCTTCTAGATAGAGTTGCTTATATTTCTCCAATTCTGTTTTATTAAAATCTTCTTGAGAAATTTTCATTTTGGAGAGTTCGGATTCCAGATCTCTAATTCTGAGTTCCATCTGACTTCTTATTGAGGCATTATTATTCTCTCTTAACTGCTCTAAGTTTTCTTGAGCTGCTGCTTGTGTCTAAAACAAATTAAAAGGATACATTTTTAAAATAATTATAACTTCAATAATGATAGTATATTTGTTTCCTTTAGTTTTGAGCCAATGATTCAGAGATCAATTTTAAATGTGAAAAAAGATGAAGTTTAAAACATTTATCATCAATGTCAACTGAATTAAATCTGAATTAGAAAATATAGTTGAATCAGTCATATTAGTATTCATGTAATTTGATAATTCAAAGAATAAGAAAGTCCACTTAAAATTTTAAAAATTGAACAATATAACTTAAGAATAATTTGAGAATATGGTACAATTTTAAAATCACAATTTTTTCCTTTCCTCTCAATAGTCTTGTTTTATACCAACTGGTCTTAAAAATAGAATGATTCTCAGTAGAGAATCATTCTGAAAGGCTAATTTAGTGCTGATAATGATGGGAGCAAATATTTACAGGGAGAAACAAATGCCACCTTCCTCCTAGAAATCTACTAAACAAACTGCTGTAAGGGAAGTAGAGAAAACACATACAAGGTATACATCTAAAATGGAGAGAAAACACATACAAGGTATACATCTAAAATGCAGAGAAAACACATACAAGGTATACATCTAAAATGGAAAGAAAACACATACAAGGTATACATCTAAAATGCAGAGAAAACACATACAAGGTATACATCTAAAATGCAGAGAAAACACATACAAGGTATACATCTAAAATGCAGAGAAAACACATACAAGGTATACATCTAAAATGCAGAGAAAACACATACAAGGTATACATCTAAAATGCAGAGAAAACACATACAAGGTATACATCTAAAATGCAGAGAAAACACATACAAGGTATACATCTAAAATGCAGAGAAAACACATACAAGGTATACATCTAAAATGGAGAGAAAACACATACAAGGTATACATCTAAAATGGAGAGAAAACACATACAAGGTATACATCTAAAATGGAGAGAAAACACATACAAGGTATACATCTAAAATGCAGAGAAAACACATACAAGGTATACATCTAAAATGGAGAGAAAACACATACAAGGTATACATCTAAAATGTATTTCGCAATAAAATGAATTAAAGCATATTACAGATCAATAAACTAACCTGTAAAAATAAATTGACTTCTTTTAATTTTTCTACTATATCCTGTCTTGCTCTTTCTTCAATCTCCCGTCTATACTGTTCTACTTGACCATGTTCCACCATGTTCATTTCTATATGACTTCTGAGGTTTACGACTTCTTGTTCCAACTTCTTTTTATTCTTGTCTAGTTTTTCACATTTCTTTTGTAGCGCTTTCATAGATAATAACTTCTGTTGGAGAACTTGATTTTCTGCATCCAGATGTACACATTTTGAAGATGCAGTTTCCAGTTTTGCTGTAAGGTCATCAATCTGCATGAATAAAATAATATAGTTTGGTGATGAAGTAGACTGAGAATAGCCTATCTCAAAAACAGTATCAAATTGTGAAATAAATTCAGTTGCAATAAAATGTTATCTATATTGTAGTAGAGTCTTAGAACATGGAAACTTAAACTACTCACAAAATCAAGAAAAAAGTTAAAACCACCAAGAGTGCACAAAAATATATCCTTTACTGTCATCATCTTTGCCATATATAACAGTTGGACTTGATTTTGTACTCTTTTATTTTTCTATGATTGTTTCACATCTTTCTTCCATAAAGGGACTAGAAGTCACCTCTTAGTAGAAAGTCTTTCACCCTTTCCTCATCTTAACTCTCTCTATCTTTTAAAGAAATTTCAGGGATATGATATTGAGTTATTTAGGCCTGAGTCACTAAATGCCTCCCAAAATAAGACTCTAATTAATGAATCTTGCAAATATGGATTCTAATGCCATAAGCCTTTTTCTGAACTATAAATGTTTTATGCTAAATTGAATTGTATTCGAAAGAGAAATGATTCTCAGGGTTAAGGAGAAATCACATCTCCCAGTATAAAAGTTTAGCGAGGGGCCAGCCCCATGGCGTAGTGGTTAATGTTTAGCATGCTCCACTTGGGTGGTCTGGGTTTGCAGGTTTGGATCCTGGGTGAGGGCCTACACCATTTGTCAGCCACGCTGTGGCAGTGACCCATATATAAAGTGGAGGAAGACTGGAATAGATTTTAGCTCAGGTCTAATCTTCCTCAAGCAAAAAACGAAGAAGATTGGCAACAGATGTTAGCTCAGAGCTAATCTTCCTCAGAGGGAAAAAAAAATTGATGAGACGATCCATACTTTTTTTGAACAAAACATGTCTTAATTTAATAGTGCTCTCTTGTAATCCTTTGTTACTTTCCACAAAATAAGAGAATACACTAAACAATAAAAACAACACAAAAACTTGCTGGAACTTCAGTGATACTGAGTTGGGAAGAACTACTTTTCCTTTAGATACAATGATTATTTGGTTAAGACAGGTGAGTGGATCTGGTGGTTTTAAAACACGTATACACATTCTCTGATGCTTCTCCCATGAAATTCACTCCCCCTAAATACGTGCTGGCCTCAGTAACTGGTTTCTAGAGAATAGGATATGGTGGAACTGCTGTGACTTCCAAGGCTAGGTTAGAATACGTGATACAGCTTCCGCCTGACTCTCTCCCTCGGGAAGTTCACCCTTAGAACGTGGCCAACACGTGGTGAAGAAGCCCAGGCCCCATGATGAGTCGTCACACAGGTGTTCCAGCTGGGACTGCCCCAGCTAACATCCCAGCCAAAAGCCAGCTTCAACGGCCAGATGTATGCATGAACTAGCCTTTAGATGATTCTAGTCCCCAGCTTCATGTCATCCCAGCCGATGTCAAGTGGAGAAGAAACGACCTGGCCTCACTAAGCCTTGCCTAAACTGCAGATTTGTGAATAAAATAAAAGTTATTTTTGGCTGGCCTGGTGGCATAGTGGTTAAGTTTGAGTGTTCCGCTTTGGCAGCCTGGGGTTCACAGGTTTGGATCCCAGGCGTGGACTCAGCACCGCTCATCAAGCCATGCTGTGGTGGCGTCCCACATAAAATAGAGGAAGATAGGCACAGATGTTAGCTCAGTGGCAATCTTCCTCACAAAAGAAAAAATAATAAAATAAATGCTATTTTGAGCCACCAGGTTTTGAGGTGGGTTACTATGCAGCAATAAACAACTGGCACAGATACCGATATTAAAAATGGGGTGCTGTCACTAAAAAAAATCACTAAAACAGTAGAAGTGCCTTTGAACCAGGAGGCAGGTGGACTCTGAAAGGATGTAGAGAAGAGTAAGAATGAAACCAAAAGGGCCCCCAAGAGACTCTGAGTGGAAGCTTGCTACCTCTTGAAGAGGCCGACAGCAAGGGCTTCCAGGCAAGTGAAGAAAATGACACTGAACCCTGGAGGAAAGGGACTCTTGTTATGAAGCAGCTGAAAGCAAAATTCATGAGATAGCTGAGCTAAAGAAAGACTATTAAATATAAATGAACCAGGACTTACAGGTTCAAACATCTGTTCCCCATTTACGGCCTCCCCACACGCCCAATTGTCAAATAATGCTAAAGTAGAGAAACGGCTTCTGGGCTGAGATCAAATCCAGGGTGCTGCCAGGAAAACTGGGTCTAAGGAGGAAGCCAGGCCTGTAAGACCCTTTGTTAAGACCTTGGAAAGATGGAAGGTGGTGCCTCAAATTCCTTTAAGGATCATAAGAGTGTAAGAATTTTACATTTTAAAGGCATTTCCCTATAACAGATGTACAGGAAGCCCAAGGTGAAAAGCTTATCTCAGAAAGATGTGTGAGTGTGGTTTTTCTAATGCATTAACTCCAATAAAATTCACAGGAAATGCAAAGTTTTTAAGAGAATTATAGTAGCAGAAACACTGCTTGCTAGTTGGGACCAGACAAGACCAAGGGAGTACACTGTGAGGCCTGTGGGTCTGAGAAGTTCTGCAGGGAGGAAGCAGGCTGAGAAAACCACTTAGCTGCAAACACAGGTGAATTCCTATGAAAAGGACAGAACAAAGAGCCCGGAGGGTACAGCAAAGGGCCCTGGAGAAGCCTTCCTGGGGCTAGGGCTAAGTCCGAATCAAAGAACTGGCAGCACGGATCGGGCTGTCCTTCAGAATTGCTGTGGCCAGTGTGCTCCCATTTTCCGTTTCTGAAGGGGAGAGTCTTCAGCAGTTTGGCAGAACGCTGGGTGTGTGGGTGGCAGATAACTTGTCTCTTCAGTTCTCAAGTCTTCATATTGCGAGGAATTGTACTCAAGGGGCTATACTCCAGAAACCACAGCCCCGGCACCTCATCCCTATCTGTATCCGATTAAGATGGTAAAAGACCTTGGACTTGAGCCTGATGCCATAATAATCGAGTCTCGTGGGGGATACTGGGTAGAGATGAGTGTATTATTCATATGAGAGGAATATAAAGAATTGTGGCCAGTGGGTAAATGCTGGCTTTTAAATGTGTCTGCAAGTTTTTAAATATTCCTTCTATTACAAAGGTAGAATATGGGCCAACCTTAATGAGTTGCTCCTACTGAGCAGAATACAGTGAAAGTGATGCTGTGTGAATTCCAAGGCTAGGTTAGCAAATGCAGTACAACTTCTGCCTGGCTCTGTCTCTCAGGCTGCTTATCCTGGGAACCCAGCCCCCATGTTCTGAGGAAGCTCAGGCCACAAAGAGAGCCTAGCTGTTCCAGTGTAGGTGTTCTGGCTGCCTGCCCCAGAGAAAGCTCCAGCCGATGGCCGGCATCAACAAGCAGAAACGTGAGTGAGCAAACCTTCAACTGATTCCAGCCCCCACCTTCCAGTTGCCCCAACTGAAGCTGAGGCGAACAGACACAAGCTGTCCTGGCCACTCTTTCCCTAACTATAGATTTACGAACAAAATAAATTGTTGTTTATTTAAGCCACTAAACTTTGGGGAGTTTGTTAGCAGAAAAGAGATAAACAGAAAAGTGGATAAAAAAAGAAATTAAGAAACATAACTTATACAGTAGAAATTAGTCTCCTGTGAAGTGGGATCTAATAAATGTTGAGATTAATTTATTAATGACAAACACTGCTAATGAGAAGAAGCAGACAACTAGAAGAAAGACCAAAGAACCATCAAGGAGGAGGTTTTTCTGGGTTTCCTCTTTAGAAAGAGGTATGCCTCTTTAGAACTTTCCCTTAAGTCTGGGGATGAGGAGGACTGGTAAGCAAGAAGACATACGATATGAAGCAGAATAGTTGAAAAACAACTGGAAATAGTTAAATAACCAAAATCAGATCTTTCACCTGTTTTTAAGTAACTGGAATTCTATAAGAGATAGCCAGCTTTGAGTATTTATTAATCAATCTAGTACTCAATCTTCATTTTCTTTTCCTCAGTGAGGAAATAAAGAAAACATGGAATCATTTTTAATCTTTTCAGTAGTAAAACAAATGTAGTGTCCTTTGGCACTATGTACTTTAAATACAATTTCTCCTTTACCTTCCTTCAAGCTTGTTTGCATGGGAAGGTAAGACTATCTCATCTTTATGTCGTACAATGCTTTTCCATATCATACAAACTGACTTTGACATTCAAATTACTAATCTGCCTATTATTTGTCTCTGATAAATCAACCGAATACTGCCTGATTTTCAATAGCTTGTACTCTTGAAAATTTTTCTTTGGATGGGATGAAATATTTACTCTATTAGTCATGCATCGAGCTATAAAGTACAGTCATGCATCTCTTTCTACATAAGTAAAAGAAGACAAATACAGGGAACTGGTTTCTGAGGATGTAGGATCTGTGCCAAGAACAGGTTCAGCACCAGTGCTATACACAAGGACCAGGTCAAAAGACGATCTATTGTGAATTGCAAGATGATGGATTAGCGAGATTTCCCAAGAGGAAAGCTGACAGCCACAACTTAATTTTCTCCTTCCTAGATGGTGAAATTTATGGATGAGTCTATGAATTATAGTAAGTTAAACATAATGAAGTAGATAGTAGACTGAGTCAGCAGATCTTGTGATCAAGAGATGACAGAAATGGGGATAAAGTGGGAGGCACTGGGTGAGAGACTGAAAGTTTGAATGCAGAAAATAAAAGGAATGGACTTTATTTTTGTAAGCCTACTTCCTATCATGTTATGGAGTCAATAACACATAAGCTGGCCACAGCCTCCTTCAAGAAGCAAAAAATCTCCACAGGAGTAGAGTTAAAGCCATTCTACTACTGACTTTTTAAAAATTTGATTTGATACTGGCATGAGAATAGACATTTAGACAATGAATTAAAACTGAGAATTCAAAAATAAACCCTCACATTTAGGCCAACTGGTTTTCAACAAGGGTGCCAAACAATTACATGGAACAAGAATAGTCTTTTTAACAAATGGAAGTGGCACAACTGGATATTCACATGCAAAAGAATAAAATTAGACCTCTACCTCATACCATGCATAAAAATTAACTCAAAGTATAAGAGCTAAAACTCTAAGAGGAAAACATAGGTGTGTATCTTCATGACTGGATTTGGCAATTGTTTCTTAGATATGACACCAAAAGGCAAAAATAGATTAACTTGTACTTCATCAAAATTAAGAACTTCTGTGTCAAAGGACACCACCAAGAAAGTAAAAGGCAAGCTACTGAATAAAAGAAAATATATTTGAAAATCCTATATCCTATACAAATCCCAACAAAGGATTTGTGTCTAGGATATCTAAAGAATTTTTACAATCCAATTTAAAAATGGGCAAAGGAATTGAATAGACAGCTCTTCAAAGAATGGATAATAAGCACATGAAAAGACGTTCAACATCATTAGTTACCAGAAAAATGCAAATCAAAACCACAATGAGATGTCACTTCACACCCACTAGAATGGCTATAATCAAAAAGACAGGTAATGACAGGTAGTGACAAATGTTAGCAAGAATGTGGAGAAATTGGAACCCTCACACACTGTGGATGAAAATGTAAAATGGTGCAGCCACTTTGGAAAACAGTCTGGCAGTTCCTCCAAAGGTTAAATTCAGAGTTACCATACCGCCAGCAATTTCATTCATAAGTGTAATCCCAAGAGAAATGAAAACATATGTTCACACAAAAACTTGGACATTAATAGCAGCATTATTAACAATAGCCAAAAAGTTGATACAACCCAAAGGTCCAACAACTGATGAATGGATAAATAAAATGTGGTATGTCCATACAATGGAGTTTTTTTTCTTTTTCACTCTTATTTTTGCAAGATTCAACCTGAGCCAACACTGGCTGCCAATCTTCCTCTTTTTATAGATGAGCCACCACCACAGCATGGCCACTGACAGACAAGTGGTGTAGGTCTTCCCCTGGGAACTAAACCCAGGCTGCCGAAGGGGAGACTGCAAACTTAGCCACTAGGCCAGTGGGGCTGGCCCACAGAATGGAATATTATTCAGCAATAAAAAGAAATGAAGTACTGATACATGTTATAAAATAGATGTCCTTCTAAAACATTATGCTAAATGAAAGAAGGCAGACATGAAGGATCAAATGTTGTGTGATTTCACTGATATGAAATATCCAGAAAAGGCAAATCTACAGAGACAGAGAGTAGAGTGGTCGTTCCCTAGGGCTGAGTAGTGAAGGGGAAACTGGCACAGGTGATGGCTGAAGGGTACAGGGTCTCTTTTTAGGGTGATGACAGCGTTCTACACTGGATTGGGGTGACGAATGCATAACTCTTGAATATTCTAAAAACCACTAAATTGTACACTTTAAATGAGTGAACTGCATGATATGCTCATTATATTCAATAAAGCTGTTACCAAAAAAAACCCTGATTTGGTGCTAGTGCTTTCACGTTGTGTAATGGTGTGCTGCTTGGCTTTGGATGACTAGCCAGGTTCAAGATGCAGGGAGTCAACAGCATGCCCTTTTTATAGAAAAATGGTACAGAAAAAAATTGTTCATTGGTGTCAAGTCTATAAAATTAATAGAAAAATGTGTACTTCACTGTTCAAAGCATTGTGATATACTTCCCCAAATTAAGTGATTTTAAATTAATTCCCCAAATTAAGTAATCCCCAAAATTGATTAAAAATTACCTTATGTTTTAGCATATTCATCTGAATATCCATTTCAATTTGGTTGGTTTTTAAATCTCCCTGGAAACTAAGCTCTCCATTTTCATAGTCATTTAACTTCCTTCTTGTCACTTTTAAGAGTTTCTTAACTCTGCAGAAATGTACAGAATGAGTAAGTCAAGTTCCTTAAGAGTAAATATTTAATAATTATTTGAACAGATATTATGCTTTATCATATAAAATAAACAAATGTAAAAATTATGATCCTCTCACATTCATTCCAATCTAATATTGTTTAAAAGCATACTAAATGATAATCTTAGGTAAATAATATTAATAAAATTTTTATGACATATAGGATAAAAGACTGATATTGTAACTATATAGAGTTTGTTAAATAAGTTATTTAACCATTTTTAGTATGTTAATATTACTATTAACATATTACTAAATATTAGTTATAAACCAGAGATGAGTATTCAAGGTGAAGAAGAAAAGCATATTTATACATGAATGTTGTGAAGACTCAAAAATACATTTTGGTACCTACTGACCACAGTCTACAAGAAGAAAAGAAAGTACACACAAAAAACATCACGGAGATCATTCAAAACAGAAAAGGAAAAAAAAATCTTTGAAGTCTGAGTTGAGAGAAAAAGGAAACAGGCAGAGCTTCCAGAAGAAAGGAAATTAGCAGAGACAGAACGTGTCACAGTCTCCTCAAGATGTTTTAGGAAGAGATCTAGAGATCTTGGCTTGCACAATATTAACAAAATAAAAGGGATGCAAACAATGTAGAGAAAGACAGAGGAACATTTTGATTAGAATCACAGAGCAAACATAGATACTCAGCAAATAAACAGAAAGGAAGCCAGGTAGGGGCTTCACAGACATTGGAAAATATTTCACTTCTTATCTGAGTGATAAAAACATGGTTACTCTTTTTATTCTTCAAGTCATATACTTATTTTTGTATGTATGACATTTTATAACTAAAAAAACAGAAAGAAAATATAAGCGAAATCAAGATAATTTTTGCTGCTATTAAACAATGGTACAGATTTTTTGATATTAAAATATTTGAATGCTGTGGGAAGAACACTACTAAAAAGAGGAAAGATTATCAAAGAAAGCAACGATATCCTGCAGAAATAAAAATTCAAGGTAGACAATGAAGAGTGCGGCTGACATTACATGCAAAAGGTATTGACGTTCTTGTTTAGGAATCATTAAAGGGTAAGTACAATATTCTGGCATTCAAAAGTTTCAGATTGTGCTGCAAGTTTCTGAAGTAAATTTTTAAATAGACATTTGTTTAACTATGAAAATGTAGATATAAAACGAATTTGTATTTAGGTTTTAATAAAGTAAAATTACAGTTACATCAATTAATTAATGGTTGAAATGATCTGAAATATTAAAATCTTACCCAGTAATCTCTTTTTCTAATTCACTATTTTTCTTCATTTCTTGATCCAAACTATATTCCAGAGATTGTTTTAACTCCATAAATTTCTTTAATTGTTCCTTTTCATCCTCAGACTTTGAAAAGAATTTTTAAAGAAAATTATTTTTAAAAATCTAGAGACTCATTCTTATTTCTTAAAAATATTTCTCATGATTTCATGAGTAATATGTGTTTAGATAGGTTTACCTGATGTCAATAAGGACAGATTTCAAAAATAATGACTTTTTTTTTTGAGGAAGATTAGCCCTGAGCTAACTACTGCCACTCCTCCTCTTTTTGGTGAGGAAGACTGGCCCTGAGCTAATATCCGTGCCCATCTTCCTCTACCTTATATGTGGGACGCCTATCACAGCACGGAGTCCAAGCAGTGCTGTGTCCCCACCCGGGATCTGAACCAGCAAACCCTGGGCCGCCGAGAAGCAGAACGTGCAAACTTAACTGCTGCGCCACCGGGCCGGCCCCAATAATGACTTTTCCTAAAACAGCTTAAATCGATTTTACATTTTCATCAATTATTTTTTCTGAAATTTAAATTGCCATAATTTATTTGTTAAAAACAGAAGCTTTTATACATAAAATACTAAGTGTTAGTGAATTTTTTTTAAAGAGTGGCTATATTTACATTTTAGTTTCTAAAATGTCCTAGAAACATTTTCATCAATAGTTCAAGATATTCCAGGTTTCACTAAATCACATCTTACTAAGATAATCTTTGAAAAATTCCTATGCAGTCCCCATTACATTTTTGATGATCATGTGACATTCTCTGTAAGCATTCTTCCATAGGTTTCAATTTCTTCTTTTCTATTAACCACTTTTCTCTTTAAATAACGCTTAAGTCTTCTCTATATTAGATAAAAACGTTAACTGTTGCTTGAGTCTTGTATGTAGCTTTTTCTATCACCCTGTTTTTTCCCTTCCAGGGGACTCTAACATTCTTTAATGCATGGTCTCATCCACAGGATTCATCTTTTCATCATTTATTCTCTTCTTTTACACTAAAATCTGACTTTCAATCCTATAATTCCACTAAAACTTTTTTGTGGATCATCAAGGACCTTTTCTTTAGTTCTCATCCTGCTTTACTTCTCAGCAGCAACTACTAACAATGACCATGCCCTCCCTCTGCTCCTCTACCCCCACTGCATTTCTAAGTGACAGCGCCCCCCAATACTCCGACCTGGACCCTCACTAGTCCTCTTTTCAAATCCTCTGAGTTCCTTAAATTTCAAGGCTTCAAATCAGATTCCCTAATCTACAGTTCCAGGCTTGACCCCTTTACTTAGGTCATCTGCACTTGTCTTTCTTCCTTCTATCCCTCATAGACAATATCCTCAGCCTCACACTCTTAAACCATTACTTGGTGTGGATTACCTTCATAGACAGCTAATCTTGTACATTTGATATTGATGCTTATCCGTGTTACTTTGAGTGTAGTGTTATTTCCTAATCTTGAGGGGGCACCCTTACCCTTAGGATGTTGACCAGCATACTTTGTCTTGTTTTTCTTTTATAATGCAAAAGTTCTTCACAAGGGTCAGATTATCGATTGTTTGCTTTGTTTTCTTTTGAATAATTTCCTATTCTATAGAGACTTGACTTCATGGAAGTCTCCTTCTAAGTTCGTTTCAGATGCACACTCAACTGTACTGTTTGGAGGCTGGAGTCAGCTAGTGCTCTCTCTCCTTCCCAATCCGGATTCTTCACCTCAAACTTGTGTTGATGAGATACCTTAACCCAGGTAGTCTCTGGCCTGGGGTTTCACGAGATGAGAACCTTCTAGAGAAGTTAGAGCTATTGATTGAGATGACTGAAAGCTGTCTCATTACATTTTTGATTCACAGGATAGACCTTAAAGTGGCTAATAATTCTACGTTGCAATCCTAACTCATTTCTATAGAAATCTACATAACATTCCTCATTATCTTTGAATAAGCTTAGTCAGTTTTGGGTATTCTTATAAATTTTTCAAGTTTTGATACCTTAATAAATTTCTGCATGACACTGTAAGGGGACAACTCCTGGCACTCTCATTCACGGAAGACTTTACCAATATATTGTCATGTCACTTACATGAAAAGTATGCTAATACACTGTGACTAATTTATATGAAGTCTAAAAAAAAATAATTTTCAATGTTTCTTCAGCACAAAGAAGACCAGTCAACAGAATGTTCGAGTTCCCTCGATAGGTATATCTGTATAATGAAATCTCAAGAATCTAGCTATTGTAACTGAGAGAAACTGAGGTAGGTGCAGCTACCTCATCGTTCCAACTTAGGGTCCACCATGCAATCTTCCAATCTTAAATCACAGGCAGCCTCTCCTGCAAAGGAGAGTAGGAATGGCAGGAGAATACTGTTCTGCTTGAGAAATAGCTATATAATTTTCACTATATTTCAAAAAATTGGAATCCTGCATTATATGTCAATCTTTTCTGAGACTGGATTTTCTCCAATCCAATCTTTGTCCAATCCAAGTAAATCTTTGATTAACTGAAGTGAGTGGGAAAAAACTAGTTTCTGAGCTTGCAATGCCAGAAGTACTATGTTACTATGCAAGGCCCTAATTGAGTAGCCATTTCTATTTTTTCATTGGTATCTCTTCTTTTTTAAAGTCCAACAAAGAGAAAAATACATTCCTTTCAGAAAAATGCTTGCATAATGACCTAGTATTCATTCTTGATGAAGAGAACAAATTACAACATTAAAAGTAATTCATTCTCAAAATCTCACTGAAGGGGTTAGATTATGAGAGAAATTCAGAGTTCCAGAATTTCAAAATTTCTGGGAATTTTTAAACATATTAAAAAATCGCAGCCAGGACTCAGTTATTTGTACACCAATGTTCATACCAGCATTATTAACAATGGCCAAAAGGTGGAAAAACCCAAATATTCACCTACAGATGAATGGATAAACAAAATGTGGTATATACAGAATACTGCATTTAGACTATCACAATATTTTCAATTAAAATCTTACTGAAAAATCACTAATTTTATGAATTCAGTCAACTTCCTCTATAAAGAGGAATTATACTACTAGTAGCAAGAAGTATCAATATAAATGCAATAAATATTTTTATCAATGATATTTTTCATATTGTCCAAAATATTCTTATATATTACTACCAGTGAAATAAAAATTCCTTTTCAGTATGATAGAAATTAAGAGATCGACTTACCGTACTTGTACCTAACAGGTTTTTCTGAAGCTGTTCAATTTTGCCCATTTGCTTTTTGACTGTAACTTTTAACTTGGCATTTTCAATTTCAAGCCTAAAACGTATATTTTTATATAATTATTCTCACACATAGATTTTAAAAAATACCACATAATTTCTGAACAAACATTATGAAGATACAATTACATAAATTCTTAAAGATTTGGAAAGTAGATGATTTGGCAATTGTGCCATTGTTCTAGTTGTGTTTGTGGATAATGTGCAAAATTTAGAGATAATGTGCAAACAGTATGCATTTCAAAGTAGTTTGAAGCTGAAATTTTTATCCAGCTTAACACTGATGCATTTATTATCCTAACAGGTATAACTCTCATACAACACTGCTTATCTGCTCTAGAAATACTCAAGTTATTTTCTGTGCTGCTTTCAGTTGTACTTTTGCACGTGATCTTGTGTCTTCTCAGCGCATCTTACAGCCTCTATATGTCGATCCTGTGCTTCTTGCAACTAAAATAAAGAAAAAAATAAAGAAAAAAACTACTGATAATCTAGTACAAATCTGCCATCACCTGTGTGTATAAAGTTTTATTGGAATCCAGCAACCCCCTTTCATCTGCATGTTATTTATGGCTGCTTTTGTGCCATACAGGAGAGACCTTATGGCCACAAAGCCTAAAATATGTACTCTCTGGCCCTTTACAGAAAAGCTTACCGACCTCTCCTCTAGTACTAAAACACATTATTCATGATTTTAAATTATATTTTATCAGATAAATATACAAATTTATATGTTGGTCAAATGAGGAAAGAAGAAATTACCTTATGATAAACAGTTATATATGTATTCCAAGCACATCAACTATAATTTTAAATATTCACATATGTGAATGGGCATGGCTAGTCCTGTGACTGTAAAAGTTAACACGCTGCTTTCAGTGACAACCAGGTGTTTCCTGGAATAGTTTGAGGAGTAGTATTTATATAGGAGCCAGGATGCCTGGGTCTGAATCCCAGCTCCACCAGTTGTTAGCTGTGTGAACTTCAGCAAATTACTTACATTTTCTGTCTCAGTTTCTTCATCTGTAAAATGGAGATAATAATAATATCTACCTCACTGGGATGTTGGGAAGATTAAATTAGGGAATCTATGTACTTAGAAGAGTACGTAGCACATAGTCAGCTCTAAGTGTTCGCAATTAGCATTATTATTCTTGCTGCATTTTATGTTCTAATAAAACTTGACATTTTTGCAGATGGCAGGCCAATGGAAGTGGTCTTCTATTGAAGATACATGAAATCATTCTTCCCATCACTGAAAGTGGCAGCAAATGGGGAGCATGAGGCCCACAACATACCCTCAGGACTTCCAAAAACTTTCACCAATTCCACTGGCCAACAGTACCTTTTCCGCTTATAATAACTTATAACTAACTTCCTCTCTGTGTCACCCAGTGGGCAGTGATGAGGGGCTCCAGGGCAGATAGCACCTCCTGGATTGGTAGGACACAACGACATGACCGTCAGAGTCAGGGCACAGCCACTGACGTGGAAAGAACGGATTCTATTGCTAAATCAAAGTTCCCGAGTCAATTCACCCCCACCGACTGTTTATGCTGGGCTGCCTCAGCAAGTAGGCTGACGAGCAGATCAAGGCTATGTGGTCTGGTGTATCAGAGAAGCTGTCCCCAGAGCTTTACAGCTGGCAAAGTGCTATAAGCGTGTAAATCCCAGGTCTGGCTGCATCATGAAGGAAGGCAAATCTAGACTTTTTTTCATAGCGAGGGGAAAAAAAATGATTGAACAATTCTCCTCTACTAGATTAAGTACTTTCAATTTTATATTAAATTGCTTAAAATTCATTTAGAATAAAAGCTTTATTTTATATCAATGTTTCTAAGAAGAAATTATTGGTATGGTATGAAATACTTAATTTTATCCTAACAACTATAAGCTAAAATATTTTCAATTTATACAAGGACAAGTGCCACGCATATCAAATCTTATTTCCCCTTAGAGAAATTTATACTTAGAAAGACAAGATTCTCTCTCATGAACAAAATAAAACAATGTAAAATTAAGGGCTAAATTGTTCTGCACAGACTAGAGGACAAGTGCTGAAAAGAGTAAGGTCAGCGAGAGTTAGAACAGTCAGAGAAGGCTTCACAGAGAATCAAAGACTGTGAGCCAGGTCTGAACATTGTACAATTAGACAAGAAGAATAGAAACTGCAAAGACAGAAAGGACAGCACAAGCAAAGGCTGAGAGACGGTGAAATGAGCCCAATTAACTCAGAGGATAAAATCCAGTGTCAGGGAAATAAAACCTATATCCACACAATAACTTGTAAACAAATGTTCACAGCAGCATTAATAATAGCCAAAAAGTAGAAACAACCCAAAGGGCCAACATCTAACGAATGGATAATAAGTTTAGCCACACAATGGAGTATTGTTTGACAACAAAAAGAAATGGAAGTACTGATTCATCATATAACACAAACTTTGAAAATGTTATGTTAAGTGAAAGAAGCTAGTCACAAAGGACCACATAGCGTGTGATTCCACTGATATGAAATATCCAGCAGAGGTAGATCTATAAAGACAGAGAGTAGTTGCGTGGGGCTGGAAGAGATGGGGAACTGAGGGTGACAGCTAAGGGATGTGGGGTTTCTTTTTGGAGTGATGAAAATGTTCTAAAATTAACTGCAGTAACAGTTGTACAACTCTCCGAATATACTAACAGATATTGAATTGTACATTTTAAATGGGTGAATTATATACGAATTATATCTCAAAGTTTTAGAAAAAAATCCAATGGCAGGATCTAGATAATTTTCTTAATTCTCTATTTTGAGTGTACATACTATACATGACTTGAATATTTTCATGCTTTTACAATATATCTAAAATGAAAAGAAAATGAAGGAAAAGCCTAACTTCAACTGGCTTGTTAATGACCTTTCTGCACAAGTTATCTGAAATCCATGAAATAAATACACACAGATTCATATTCATTCACAAAAGTGAAGATGAAAAATAAGGCAATTTTCTGGAACATTTCATTAAACATCTGATTTTATCTGGCTTGCCTCATCACGATGATAGAGATAACAGTAAAAAAATACTGTTTAGTAGGAAAAAAAAGTCTCTCAACTTCTATGAAGAATGATGCATAATTCTCACATTTTCCTAAGGTTAAATATTGTAATAAAAAATGTATAATACAAATGGAAGAATGAAAGTCAGAGTTTAAGAAACAAGTGCATTATAAAGATAATAAAATTATAATAAATTAATTATAATGAAAATACAAAAGAAAGCTGCCCACGAAAATTAGTACCCTAAAACACTTTATGTTATTTAACCAGCTCTAGGTGAATTGCTGACATGTTAAATTTCATACATACTTGACTTCTTATTTGACCTAATTTCTTTTTTAAATCCTGTGTCTCATCTTCTAAACTAATACGATATCGTGACGTAACCTCCAGAGAAGCCTCCGACATAGACTGCTTTTTCAGGGTGTCAGCCAGTTCTTGTTGAAGTTGTCTCACAACTACCTAAGAAGACATTCCTGTTACTGATTTTATAAATCATCTTATTAGGAAATTATGTTAATACCATATAACACTAACATATATACTCTGAAAAGTATCACATATGTCAACTCACCTTCTTTTCCTCATATGTACACTTCCTGTTAACTGAAATCGGTCAAAGACACAAAAGGTGTTATCCTCCTGCCTCATAAGCATTGTTACTCAGGCAATGGATTCAGCCCCACTATCCATTCCCCGGGGGCATTCGCAAAGATTTACTACCTACTGAAAATCTCAAAAAGACATGAGGATGTAGTGGGACTAGGGGTGGTCAATTCTACACTGTGGAACAGTTTCCCTCTTCTTTATCAGAGGCCTACATGAACTTCAGAGTTCCTCACATACTCCATCCTCTGCGCAAACTCTTCCCAGGATTCCCATCTCAGAATAAAAAGGAAGTCATTCCAATGGGCTTCGAGGCTCTAGGTAACCTGGCCTCCCCCTCCCTCCCTGACCTCAGTGCCTACAACTCTCTCCCCACTCAACCCCACTCCCGCCACACGTGAATCCTGCCGCCCCTCGCCAGTCTGGAAACGGAGATCCAATGTCAAATTAATAAATGATGGAGAGCTGCAACTCTCTTTGTGTTGGACAAACTGAGGTCCAAATGATAGTAACTGAGCCGTGAAATGACAATTAGGAGCCAAGTATTTGTGAAAACGTTCAAAGTGAATTATAACCAGCAGTGGGAAGATTAAATCAAATATAGTTTTGCTAAAACTCACCACATTTGTCCCAAATTATGATTTAATTAAAAGCAGATGCCTTTAAAGAGTACAGAGGCCATAGGATATTTGATTTGAGACTGAAATATTTCCAAATTTAATTCAAATTGACATCAGTAAAAATAAAATTCTACTGGGGGCCAGCCCAGTGGCACAGCGGTTAAGTTTGCACATTCTGCTTTGATGGCCAGGGGCTTGCTGGTTTGGATCCCAGGTGTGGACATGGCACTGCTTGGCAAGCCATGCTGTGGTAGGCATCCCACATATAAAGTAGAGGAAGATGGGCACAGATGTTAGCTCAGGGCCAGTCTTCCTCAGCAAAAAGAGGAGGATTGGTGGCAGATGTTAGCTCAGGGCTAATCTTCCTCAAAAAATAATAAAATTCTACCAACTAAAAATGTATAAAAAGCTACTGAGCTACAGCACCTACACTTCAATTCACCTGGGAAATCTGGAATTAACTGTCAAGGTAATCCACTTAATGGAATCAATTTCGAAATACTCATTTTAGTTATGAGCATTTCATTCATCTGCTTCATCATGGTATTAAAATGTGGTGACATAAAGATTAAAATTATTGTTTTAGCAGTATGAGACTAAATTATTAATATCAGTCTGTACCTATTAACAATTCATAATTTAACCTCTTAAAATTTCATAGGTGACACAATGTCTTTACTCAAAGTAAAGTAAGTCTCTAGTCTAATTTTTGTTTGCTGGATACAAGGTATGCTTTTAAGCTCATTTATAGTCTATATATTTTTAGATTCAACTAGATTCCACATTTAGCTATAATCAAATATTACTTTGAATTTTCTTTCAGAAACCTTGAAAAATATTGATCTTTCTGGATACTTACTTCTCTTTCTGCTTTCTCATTTTCATACTGATACATTCTTTCTTTTAAATGATTACATTCATCCATTAACTCCTTATTTCTTTCTTCCAGCATAAGACCTTGTTTTTCACTTTTGGCTTGAAGTTTTGTTACAATATCCTGAAACCGGTCTTGGATATTAATCACTGTCTTTTCTTTACTATCAGCTTTGTTGTGAGCATCATCCAGTTGCTGTCGAAGCAACATATTTTCACTCTGTAGTTGAGCCAATCTCTCCTCTAAGGATTCCTGCTTCCCGATGTATTTATTCACTCTACCTTGTTCACTCTGATACATTTGTTCAATTTCCTTCTTTTGACACTGTGTTTGGCTGAGGTCTCTTTGTACACCTTCTAAAACCAAAGTTTTCTCTCTGAGAACATCTCTTGTTTGATGGAGCTCAATTTCTAGGTTATTGACTTTACTTTCAGCTTTAGAAAGTTGTTGAGAAAGAATCTCATTACTATCTTTCAGGTTAGATATATCAAAATTCATTTTGTCCTGTAAGCGAAACCACTCATCTCTTGCTCTCTGGAAAGCAATCTCTAGGTCTCTTTTTGATGTCTGACTTTGATCATGATCGTGGACAGCAGTAGCCAGTCTTGAACGGTATGATTCAACTTCTGTTTCCAGTCTTTCTTTGTTTTGTCTTTCATTCTCCAGTTTAGAGTTTAGCACTGTATTCTCAGCTGTTAGAACATTAAGCTGTCCATTATATTGAAATATTGTTTTCGCTAATGTTTCCTCATTCAGTTTTATTGTTTTTTGAAGATCATCATTCTTTTCTTTTACTCTTTCAATGTCCTCAAAATATTTCTTTTCCTTTTCCTTGTTCTGATTTTTTATTGTGTCTATTTCCAGTCTTAGAATGGCAATTTCATCCTGCAACATGTGGTTTTTATGTGACAGATCTTTTTCTTTGTCATGACTATCAGAAACCTAAGTAAAACAAAGGAGACCTGTAGCTTAGTGTTCAATAAAATGACAAATCATGATTTCCTCTGAAATTAAAGAATCTATAAGTTTATACAATAAAAAGGTTTCCAGAAGTGGATATCCAACTGGAAAAAGATAAAGTTGGATCCAAACCTCAAACATTATACAAGCATAAATTCCCCAAAGTTCAAAAATTTAATTGAAGACAATGAGTCCACGAAAGTAAAAAACAAACCATGAGAGAATTTTTAAGAATCTCAGAATGGGAAAGGCCTTTCTCTGAACTACAACAACTCAGAGGCATAAATAAAAGACTGCTAAATCTGACTACATTAAAACTTGAGTTTGCAGTCTGACATCTAACCTATCCACCTGCCCCAGAGTAGGAGCCTCAGCTCTGCATACATTTGGACAGATGAAATCTCCTAAAGTCCTTTTCCTTGAGAATATTCCACAGATAATCTACTTTTCTAACATTTTTATAGTCAATCATAAAAATTCCATCTACTGACAAGTCATACATCTAGGTGTTATACTAAGCATCTCTATATCCATCACCGAACTTGTTGAGTTGTCACAGTTCTGGAATACGAGCAAGCTGATTTCCCCAGGGCTTCTGACTCTACTACTAGTGCTCTTGTGCCAAACCACAGCTACTTCTCTACTGGAAACAGTTACATACAAAAGAAGCCTTATATTTCAAAACAGTAACAGTAAATAAAGTCAAACTTATAGAGTTCTTCTCAGAAAATCATGAGACTATTTGCTGCTGCAATAACTTTTATTTCCTCTTCATAATGTTTAAAATAGCAATAACTGCAAAATAGGGGGAAAATACACTGAACTATTTCACTAGGAATAAAATATTCATCCATAAATTATCACTAATTTAGCATATTATTGTTTTCAAAAGCTCCTTGTCCTGAAATAGGATACAACTTGGAGCAAATTGTTACTTTTCTCAAAAATAGAAGAATAACATCCAAAACATGGTCTCTAAACTGGCTACACTGTTTCTCTTTACCATCAGTGGAAGTGATAAACCTCTCTATTAATATATCAAGGCGGTGAAATCACTGTCCAAAACTGGAACATCTGTTAATAGCAACAGTTGTTAATACCAATAGTTTTGAGATTATGGAAAGCTCATTAATTCCTATGAAAAATATTAAAAGCCTCTCCTTTGGATGAGGCCATTGGAAATATCACTACTTGACTATTACAGACAAACGGATTTGAATTAAGAATATTACTTTTTCCAATGGACAAAAAATGCCACCCCCCCCCCCCCAAAATTATATATACAGTCATGCACCACATAACAACATTTGGTCAACAAGGTACTGCTTATACAATGGTGGTTCCAGAAGATTAGTACCATATAGCCTAGGTGTGTAGCAGGCTATAGCATCTAGGTTTGTGTACGTACACTCTATGATGTTTGCACAACAATGAAATTGCCTAACAACGCATTTCTCAGAACATAGCCCCATCATTAAGTGATGCACGACTGTATATATGCTTTAGAAATCCTCTATACTTTCCATGATGTATAGCGTTGGTTTTTTAAATATATACACACAAAAAAGGATAAATACACATATGTGAAAATGACTAAAGAAAATACCTCAGTGTTCAATTTCTTATGAGCCATTTCTATCTCCTTTTGTTTGCAAAGGTGGTTGGTCAGAATTCCATCTTGTAATATTCTGGCATTCTGTTCTCGAGAAAGTTGCCTCTGAGTGTCATTTCGCTCTTCCACAACCTAGAGACACATTTCATTAGGCTTTTGGTTTCCTACTACTAAAAAGAATCAAAGGTTAAGAGTAGAAACTCAAAAAAAAAAATGTTAAAAGGAAGTAGCTCTTTTAATACGAAAGGACTTTATCCCTCATGAATAACTCAAATTTTAATTTAAATGATAGCTAAATTCGTCACAGAGCAAAATTACAGGTAGACATAGTATCGTGAAATAAAATTTCTTTACAAACATTTACTAGTTTCATCACAGTCTTAAGGCAATTTAGCCTGTAATTTAACATAAAAAAACTAAAATTAACATTTATGTTAATGATTAGGCTCAATTTACCTTCCATTCCTTCATACAGAAAACACATACAGAGCATCTCTTAGGTGCCAAGAATTGCAATAAGTTAATAATGTTAGCTATAAATGTCACAGCTCATATTTAGGATGCGATAACATTTTTGGTTTGTTTTAAACCCATATATACATGAAACCAGAGCTATTACAAGTAATATTAATGAAACAATGTTAGAAATATGCATTTCTTACCTAGATTAACTTACCTGATTCAGATTATTTCTCACAGTCCTCAATTCCATGTCTAGTGTTCTAAGAGTGAGTTCAAGCTGTTGTTTCATTTCAACTTCTTGACTATATTGCTCTTCTTTTCTTCTTAATTGCTCCCTAATTTTTTCATATAACTTATCAGCAGTTCTTCTCTTCTCTTCTTCTTGTTTTAAGGTAAATCTGCAGTTAAATATGCTTATCTTAAAATTCATTTTGTTTGGAAAAAGAAAAATTCATTTTATGATCGGGTTCTACATATGTTGGTTTATTATCCTAATGAAATTTCTAACTTCTCAAATTTTTTCCTTTCTAAACCTCATGTTTTCAATTTCTTACTTAAATCTCTTTCAAAAGATATATATACTTGAAAGGTGGCAATGAAAAAACATTCTGCTGCTTAGTTTTAGTCAACAGTCACTCTGGTAAATATTGTAGGAAAGGAATTTTGAAATTATTCAGTAAAGTTAGAGTTGAAAATTACTTTTTTCCACAGTCATAATTAGCACTCTATTACGACAGATTAGTTACTAATTGAAAAGAGAACTCATTGTTTATAAACAAGTTCATAAATTCACTAGAATGAAAATTCCAAGTTCACAAAATATCACAGTGAAGTAATACTGACTAAAAGTGACTTACAGTGTAAGACACAACAGCAGATGTCTAGACAACACCCATCTGCAGGCTCCTGTCACCCAGGACCAGGCAAGGGAGGCTGCTATCTGGGGCCCCTCACTTTCTATGTTTCTTCTCTTGCAACACTTTCAACTTATCTTGTAGATTATTATCTACTTTATAAATCATTTTAAAATCCCTTTTGGAACAAGACAGGCTCCATATTAAGTAAACAATTAAGAGTAATATGTGCTTTCAGCACAGACCTCTGAATTAATTTTATCTACGTATGAGAGAGATTTTGAATAAACTAATTGGTAATCACCTTCCATCTTACTTTTTATTCCATGCATATGTGAAGAATAAAACTGCATACATTTTGTAATTTTTTAGTCTTGAGAAAAACGCTCATTTCATACTCTGGTGGGAATGAAAATTATTATAAACTTTCTTGAGACTGATGTAAGAAATATGGATCAAAGACCTATTTAAAAGTTCTTATGCTTTAACCAAATAATACTATATTGAAGAATTTATTAAAAGTAAATCGTAAAGGGGCTGGCCCCATGGCCGAGTGGTTAAGTTCGCACGCTCTGCTGCAGGAGGCCCAGTGTTTCATTGGTTCGAATCCTGGGCGAGGACATGGCACTGCTCATCAAACCACACTGAGGCAGTGTCCCACATGCCACAACTAGAAGGACCCACAACGAAGAATATACAACTATGTACCGGGGGGCTTTGGGAAGAAAAAGTAAAAAAAAATAAAATCAAAAAGTAAATAGTAAGAAACGTAGAAATAGATTTATATAAAAGATTTATATTCCTGGGGCCAGCCTAGTAGTTAAGTTCACGAGCTCCACTTCGGCGGCCCAGGGTTTTGCCAGTTCGGATCCTGGGAGAGGACATGGCACACTCATCAGGCCATGTTGAGGCGGCATCCCACATAGCACAGCCAGAGGCACTCACGACTAGAATCTACAACTATGTACTGGAGGATTTTAGGGAGAAGAAGAAGAAGAAGAAAAAAAGAAGATTGGCTTTGAAAAAAAGAAAAAAAGACATTCCTTGCAGCATTAATTGTAATACAGAAAAATGAAAAACAACTGAAAATTAATTTCCTAAATAAATAATGAGGTTTCCATATAGTGGACTCCCATTTGGTCTTAAAGTATCACTGTTAAGAACTTCCTATATCATTTCTAAGAATTTCATACTCCACTATACTAAAGACATTTTTTCCCCTGTAAAATCCCAGAAGGTCAGTTAGCAATTACAAAACTTCTACATTTACTGTAGTATAAAAGTAAATAGTTCAAATATTTCTTTAAAATGAAGATGTTCAATACCTCAAACTGCAGACTTCTCGTTCCCACTCCACTTTTTGATGCTCTAACTGTGACTTCATTTCTTTCGTTTCTGATAGCTCCTTTTGTAGTCCACTAACCTTATTTTCCATTTTTTTAATTTTTCCTGTAAGTAATTCACAGTGATTTTTTTTAAGTTCTATTAATCTTTCATATGAAAGAACTGCATTCTGGATTTTCAATAGGCTAACAGAATCTGCATCAGGGAGAAAAAAAAAATAGAAATAAAATATGGGTATTTTTTTGTGCATAAAGGACTGTGCAGTTTCACATTCCCTCATTCATATGTCGAACAAATGTATATTGAGCACCTGCAACATGGAAGACATTACACTAAGCTCTGCAGATCAAATAGACAAGATCCCTGCCTCTTGTTTAGCTTAAAGAGGAGAAAGACAAATAACATGTCAATTATAAAATGTGATAGCTATTATAAGAAAACAGAGTTCTATGATCACATAACAGAAGTTGATCTAGACTGGGCCCAGGGAAGACCTCCCTGAGGAAGAGAGGGCTACACTGAGAAATGAAGGATGAGCAGGAAGCAATGAATCAAAGGAGGAAGAAAGGCACTCCAGACGGTCTACAGCACGTGCCGAAGTCTACTGCAATCTGCTTCTAGCCAACACGGAGTAACAGGTAGTGATTTACCTTCCTACCCGAAACAAGCAAAAGCCAAACAGACAAAATACATAAAAATGATTTTCAAGACAAAGGACTTCAGGCAATGAAGGACAGTGATCCCCCAAAACAACTGAAGTTAGCCTAACAAATGCCCACCTCACTGCCTTGAGAGAATGTCCAGGCCACAATACAGGGAGAAGGAACTGAGGTAGAGCCCACCAGACTCCCTGAGTGGAGGTGATGAAGCTGAGAGTCTGGTGAAACCAAGGCAGGTAGAGATCACAGGTCAGAACACTGGAGAGTAGATAGCGGAACAGAGGAAGAACCCTGGAGATGTGCAGAGGGGCCCCTGGGTGTTCAGCAGAGTAGTGCACAGTGCATACAGGTGAGGAAACCCCCGGGACCAGGGGAACAATCCATCTGAAAAGGCATGAAACAGTGCCTGGTGCTCACACGGCACCAGGAATAGTGTCTATTCACATTAGCCAGGCTGGAAAAACTCATAATTCACACGCCAATGACTTGAATAGTCAGAAACCTCGTGCTTCAGTAGTGGGGAATAATCAGGTACAGGCTGAGCGCTGCTCTGGATGAACCTAACACATCATAACAGCAACATCGGAAAGGATCAAACTGTTTATAAGTAACTTAACTGTATCCCCAAACAAAGCTCAAAGAGCTATGTAGAGGCATGGAAGCTATTTTTAAAAACCAAATAGCACTTACAGAGATGCAGATTATGATGTCAATGATGAAAAATACACTGGAGGGGAATAAACACATATTAGTTATTACAAAATAAAAGGTTAGTAAGTTTGACATCCATGAACTGTGAGAAAACTTCAAATGGCTAATATACAATTCCCCAAAAAGCTGGGGGAAAGGGACAGAAAAAAATATTTGAAGAAAAAGTGGCCCAAAACTTCTAAACTTAATGAAACTATAATCCCATAGATCCAGGAAGGATCTGGTTAGAAGAGAAGAAATGAAAGTAAACTACTGCAATTTTCTTATACTACATATGATGTGGTAGAGCATTACTTGAAGGTGAACTGTGAGAACTTAAAGTCATAAACACTAAAGTAATCACTAAAATAGCAAAACAGAAGACATAGCCAATAAGCCAAAAAAAGAGTTAAGTCATACAAAGTATGTTCCCTGACCTCAAAGCAACCAAATTGGAAATCAAGAATAAAAATATCTCTGGAAAATACTCAAATATTTGGAAACTAAATAACACAAATCTAAATAAATCCTGGGTCAAAGAGGAAGGGAAAAGAGAAATTAAAAAGTATTTTGAACAGAATGAAAATGAAAACAAAGATATCAGAATTTGTGGAATGCTGCTACAGTAGTGCTGACATGGACATTTATAGCCCTGAATGTCTGCATTAGAAAAGAAGAAAGGTTTTCACCTTAAGAAACTAGAAAAAGAAGAGTATATTAAACCAAAGTAAGCAGAAAAAGAAAGTAATAAACATCAAAAGCAAAATCAATGACACAAAAAAAGGAAAATAGAGAAAAGTCAATGAAACCAAATGCTTTCAGGAGATCAATAAAAGTGATAAATCTCTAGCCAGCCTGATAAGGAAAAAAAGAGAGAAGGCAAAGATTAACAATATCAGACATGAGGAATGCGACATTACTACACATTCTACAGACATTAAAAGAGTAACAGAGTACCATTAGGAATTTTATGTAAATAAATTTGACAACTCAGATGAAGTGGGTAAATTCCCTGAAAGACAGAAATTACCAAAGCTCACTCAAGAAAGAACAGAGAAGCTAAGTAGCCCTATATCTATAACAGAAACTAACGTTCTGGTTAAAGACCTTCCCATAAAGAAAATTCCAGGCCCAAATGGCTACACTAGTGAATTCTACCAAACATTTTAGAAAGAAATAACACCAGTTCTATACAAACTCTCCCAAAAAAAGTGAAGAGGAGAAATACATCCCAACTCATTCTATAAGGCTGGCATTACCCTGAAACTAAAACCAGACAAAGATATTACAAGAACGAAAACTACATCATGAGCATGGAGGTAAAAATTCTAAATAAAATATTAGCAAATCAATTCCACCAATACATTAAAAGGATAATTTATCATGACCAAATGGTGTTTATCCCAGGAAAGCAGGGTTAGTTTAACGTTCAAAAATCAAGTAATGTTATTCACTATATTAACAAACTAAAAAAAAAAGCAGAGAAGAAAATCTTTGTGACCTTGTGCTAGGCAACGATTTCTTAGATATGAACACCAAAAGCAAAATCCATAGAAGAACAAATAGATAAATTAAACTTCATCAAAAGGGAAAACTTCCGCTCTTCAAAAGACACTGTTAAGAGAATGAAAAGACAAGCAACAGACTAGGAAAAAAATTTTTGCAAAAAAATATAGCTGAAAAAGGAATTGTATCTAGAATATATAAAGAATTCTCAAAACTCAACAAATAAGAACACAAACAACCTAACGTTTTAAAAGGCAAAAGATTTAAACAGTTAGTTCAAAGAAGATAAACAGATGGCAAATAAGCATGTGAAAAGATGTTCATTATTAGGGAAACGCATATTGAAATACTACACACTCATCACAACGGTCTAAGATTTAAGAAGCTGACAATACTAAGTGTGAAAATACGGAAGAACTGAAACTCATCTGTTGCTGATGGGAACGGAAAATGGGCACAATGACTTAGAAAACAATTTGGCAGTTTTCAATAAGGGAATATAAAGGGGCATGAGGAGACTTTTAGGGATGGTGGACATGTTAACCTTCTGAACTGTGGTGATGGTGTCATATGTGTATACATATGTCAAAACTATCAAATCATACACTTGATACATGTGCAGTTATTGCTGTTCATCTCTGACTGTGCGTAATTTATAAAGCAAATTTTACCATAGGTATGTATGTGTAGGAAAAATCATAGTATATCTAGGGGTACTATCCGTGGTTTCAGGCATCTAATGGGGGTCTTGAAATGTATCCCTCACAGATAAAGGGGAGACTACTGGACATAAAAAGGCTTTATTTTCATACAATGGTCCTACCTTTACAATCCACGCCAAGTTGTTCAATCAGCAACATGGAATTCATATAATTGGAGTACGGCAACTCACAATCCTCTGAGGCTGTTTCAGATGACTGAGTTAAGTCAGCAAGGTCATCCAGAGAATTAATTTGCTTTTTGACCTACAAATAAATAATACTATTTCAAAATGTCCCAAAAATATTTATAAAATATACTAAGTGTACAGAGGTGATAAATATCTTTTTATAAAAGCAAATACAGATTCTTCTTAAAACAACTGATTTTTATCAAAAAGATACCTTTTATCAATAATTCATGTCTCCAAATTACCTTTTCAAAGTAAATGTATTACAACAAAGGAAGATTTTCTATTTTTTCCACTATACCTTTTATAATGTATTTTTTTACTACAGAATAATATTTTTGATAATTTATTTGTTACAATACCTTGTTCTTTTCATTAGATGTTTTCTTCGCAGGCCTAAGAAAACAAACAATTCTTCTCAGGCAAATATTAAATACTTAAAATACAAACAATATCTAAACCTGTTTTTATAAATATAAAATCTCCGCAATTGTAACTAACTTTCCATAGTGGGATTACATAATAAATAGAAAGAGTAACATTAAGGGACAAAGAAAATACACTAATAATATTAACAAAGTATTAAATTTAGATTAAGCTGACAGTCAAAGCAAAAATATAATGTTACTTGTATTATTTGATAGGAAAAAAAATATACCAGGATCTTTGGTTGTCACTTTCAATAAAAGCAAGCTTTTACTGGCACTAAAACCTATTTGGAAAGTATTATCTAAGTCCCTATATGAACGAAATCCTTTTTTAATAATCCTGAAAGGCTAGGTAACTTGCCCAGCCCTCATACAGCTGGTCAATAGGAGACCCACAATTCAAACTCAGGAAATCCGGCTTCAAAACATGTGTTTCACAATATGCTGGGAAAGTAATATTTATTTTTTGGTGTTTCTAAGTATATAATAGCAAATGAATCTATATTATTACTCCATTTTTAGCTATAATTATAAATCATAATTTCTGAATCTTACACATATTTTTGAAATAAAAAGACTTTACACCTAGGCAATATTGGAAACCTACTTACAATAAACTAAAGATTTGTTTTTTCTAAAGAAATTCATCAACAGGCATTCATTCATCCATTTAACTGCTTACTCAAGCATTCAAAACATGCTTACTGAGCACACAATATGTATCCATAACACTGTTGGTACAGGAAGCACAGCTTTTGTAATTTAGAACTATATAATCCAAAAGTAATCATCTGTGATAGATTAACAGTTTATTTTTCTACTGTACACAAACATTTCGAAATCTTCCCCTTTTCCCCAGAACGTAACAACTATTAAGTTCATAAACCTGATACTTTAGAGTACCTTACAAAACCCAGCTATTCATGATGATACTGTCAAAGGCATTATAATACCTAGAAACATCAAGGAATGATTAAATTCTATTCAATGTAGCCTAAGTGTTTACATTATTTATGACTATATAATTTTTAAAAATCTATGTATAATAGTATAACTTTTAAGTAATCATGTGCATATTCAATTACAGGCATACCTCGAAGATATTGCAGGTTTGGTTCCAGACCACCGCAATAAAGCGAACATCACAATAAAGCAAGTCACACAAATTTTTTGGTTTCCTAGTGCATATGAAAGCTATGTTTACATTATACCGTAGTCTAGTAAGTGTACAATAGCATTGTATCTAAAAAAACAATGACTATACCTTAATTAAAAAATACTTTATTGCTAAAATATGCTATCATCTGAGCCTTCAGAGAATCATAATCTTTTTGCTGGTGGAGGGTCTTGTGAAAAATGCAATGTTTGTGAAGCACAATAAAGTGAAGCCCAATAAAACGGGGTGTGCCTGTATATGAGAATATTCCACGTCAGAACGAATTCTGAACGGACAAGTTCTTACCGTAAAGCTATACGTGAATAGAAGTACTATGGACAATTAGTTTACTATCATCTTTCAAAGATAATGTAATACAATCAATAAGCTTTCTAATATTGGAAATGCAGACAAAATTAAATTAATAAACATGTCATTCTCCACTGGATCATTTCCAACGGCATACAAACATACTCTAAAAGCTCCCATCTTCACAGAAAGAAAGAAAGAAAGAAAGAAAGAAAGAAAGAAAGAAAACTTGATTGAACTCCACATTCTTCTTATCACCTGTCCCCTATTGTCTTTCACAGTAAATATTCTCTAAGGAGTTGTTTACACTTATTCACTATAGTCTGGCTTCAAGGGCAACTGTTTATTGAAACTGCTCCTTGTCAAAGTCGCTTGTCCTCATCTTAACCTTTCAGCAGTGTTTGTTAGATGTAGTTGAGAATTCTCTTACCTTGGCCTGTACACTGCACTAAGCTATTTTGTTTCCAGAAAAAGTAATCAGTGGTAATATGCTTTCTGCTAGAAATAAAGAGTTTATAGATTTTACCTCCCATCATCCTGATCTGTTTCACTTAAACTGCTGTCATCATTCACTTGTAGTAGACCTCCAGGTAGCGAGTCGGCCTTCTCAAACATTGGGGTAATCACAGATTCTTTTGGTGTCCATTTTTCATCCTTAGTTTTCTTTACTTCCTTCATATGCAAGCCAGGAGCACTACTTGAAAAAATCCATAAAAAAGCCAATGTTTTCTAATAATTCTACTGATAAACAATAAAAAACAATTTTCATAAATTCTAATTCTCATCATCTTAATTTATTCATTAATTCAGAAAACAATCATGAAGTACATAGGGAAGGAAATACACATTCCTGCTTCAAAGTTGGATGTACAATTATGATACAGATATTAATAGTTGACATGTGAAAAATTGTAAGTGAGCACAAGGAGAGCTTTACAAAAGAGATAAAACACACGAGGTCGCCAGGAAAAGAAATGGGAAAAAAATCATTCTTCTCAGAGATTAGAACGTGAGCACAAAGATTAGGTACATGTACGGCATCTAGGTGTTTCCTAGGACCTTGAAAGGAAAAGTATAAAATACATGGAAGCAAGTAGTGAGAGATGAGTCAGGAAAGAAATTCTGAAGAACCCTGAATGCTACACTAAAAATCAAGTTTACTGTCTAAAAGCAAGGACTCAAACGTGGGAGTAAATCATTAGATTTGTGCTATAGTTTTGGTCTTGCTTTTAAATATAATAATGCTTAATTGAAATGATTTTTAAAATAGCATGAAGCACACAGAACATGAAAGAAGAAATCAGGGAAATATCTTGGGGGGGATTTTACTTTTAAAATATCCATATGTCAGAGTGACGTCAGCATCATGCTGAATAAGATGTACCTCATCGTGCCCCCCAATCACCACCACTAATCTGGCATTCATCCATGGACAAAGGTGCCTGTGTGGGGGCTGTGGGATCTAGCACCATAGGCCAAGTGACCTGGGAGGTATCTCACCCAACCACGCATCAGGTAACAATTGTATAGACCCAGGTCCCAACTGTGGACCCTATATGGCCCACGAATTGGTTCCAGCCACTCTCAGCATCATCCAGGAGCCCCTGGAAAGCAGTCTTGGATAATCATTGTCAGATGAGAGAGTCTTTGTGGAAACCCAGGGTTCCAGCAGAGAAGTTCCATCCAGCACTCCACTGGAGCAAAAAAATACAAGTCTGGATGCATTGGAGAGGGCAGTTATTAAAGACTGAAAGAGGTAACTGCTACTTCAAATGCAAAGACGGCAATGCAAAACCTCAAGGAACATGAAAAATCAAGGAAACGACACTACCGAAGGACCACAATACTCTTCCAGTAACCAATCCCAAAGATGTGGAAATTTGCAATTTACCCAACACAGAATTCAAAACAGCAGTTTTAAGGAAACTCAATGAGCTACAAGAAAACACAGAAAGACTATTCAACAAAACCAGGAAAACAATACACAAACAAATGAGAAGTTTACAAAGAGATACAAACAATAAAACAGAACCAAACAGAAATTCTGGAGCTAAAGAATACAATGAATGAAATAAAGAATGCAATAGAGGGGGCCGGCCTGGTGGCCTAGAGGTTAAGTTCGCATAACCCGCTTCAGCAGCCCGGGTTGGGGTTCCGATCCCAGGTATGGACCTAGCACCACTTGTCAAGCCATGCTACGGTGGCATCCCACATAAAATAGAGAAAGATTGGCATAGATGCTAGCTCAGTGACAATCTCCCTCAAGCAAAAAGAGAAAAATTGGCAAGAGAAGTTAGCTCAGGGCCAGTCTTCTTCACACACACATAAAATGCAATAGAGAATACTGACAGCAAAATAGATCAAGCAGAAGAAAGAATCTGCAAATTAAAAAATAAGAACTTTGAAATTATCCAATCAGAGGAGAACAAAGAAAAAAAAATGAAGAAGAGGGAAGAAAGCCTATGCGAATTACTGGATACCATCAAAGGAAACAATTTGCAAATTATCACAGTTGCAGAAGAAGAGAGAGAGAAAGAGGCAGGAGGCTTATTTAGAGACATAACGGCTGAGAACTTGCCAAACCAGTGGAAGGCTTTGGATATCCAAGTTCCTGAAGCTCGTAGGTCACCAAACAAACTCAACTGAAAGAGAGCCACTCCAACACGCATTATAATAAAATTGTCAAAAATCAAAGACAAAGAGAGAATCTAAAAAGCAGCAAGAGAAAAAAAAGAGGCTTGTAACTCATAACAGAACCTCCATAAGTCTATCAGTGGATTTCTAGCAGAGACCTTGCAGGCCAGGAGAGAGGAGGATGACATATTCAAAGTGCTGAAAGGAAAAATGGCCAACCAAGAATATTCATGCAGCAAAGTTAAACTTCAGAAGAGAAAGGGAAAGAGAGCTTCCCAGGCAAACCGAAGTCTGATTATAAGTCTGTAATTATAGAATATGACATGGTTTTCATTTTGAACATAGTTAATAGAAAGCAACTTTTTTTTTTTTAAAGATTGGCCCCAAACTAACATCTGTTGCCAATCTTCGTTTGTTTTTTCTTCTCCCCAAAGCCCCCCAGTACATAGCTGTATATCCTAGTTGTAGGTCCTCCTAGTTCTGCTGTGTGGGATGCCGCCTCAGCATGGCCTGATGAGCAGTGCTAGGCCCAGGCCCAAGATCCAAACCAGGGAAACTCTGGGCCCTGGAAGCACAGTGTGCAAACCTAACCACTCCGCCATGGGGGCTAGCCCCTGGATGGCAACTTTTAACCAGAAAATATCTTGTTCAAGTGGCCTCAAACTTAGGAAAAGACTAACATGTGGCCATGGTAACAAGACGCTACCAGAACCAGCTGTAAATGTGTTCGATCAATCAATGACCACTGGCCTCACTCACCAGCCAGTCAACATCAGCTCCTTCCTTCTGAAAGAAAGCCAATCAGAGACAAACTCACTCCACGAAACACGGCTTGGAGTGCCCACCAATCAAGAGCAGTCTCACCCAAGAGCCACGCTGCTTCAGATGCCATCAAACCACTTGGCCTCTGAAAGTCCACCAGTCCTTAAACTCCACTCTTCCCAAAACTCAAAGAAGAACAGCGAGCTGCTCTGCTTGTTAGAAAAGTCTGTGCCTGACCAGCAGAGCGCTGTCTTACTATAGAGAGCAGTAAATCCCAACTTCATCTTTTTACTTCAGATATTCAAAGCTCATTTTCCTTTGGCAAGAATTTTTTAAAGTCCTATAATAATTTAACACCATTATATTTTATTTTTCTTAATAAAATAGCAAGGAAGTTTGCTATTCCTTTGATCCATTTTACCATAATTAAAATGATCATAAATACCACTCAAAGAATAAAGAGCGAGTTAACTACAATATTGGACTTTCCTCCCTAAATGGAAAAACTTTCATAGAGAGAAGATAGCTTATTAGAAAGAGCCAGAAAGAATGAAAAAAATGCAGATAGTTGACAGGTAAAATTGTTAGAATGGGCCCACACCAAGACTACTTTTTTGTTTAAGGGAGAACCATGACAATGTTTAGAACCATACACAGGTTAAACTCCGTTCACTGAGTAGTACTGTGTGCTAGGTAGGCCCTTTTCTAGGCACTGAGGATGCAGCAGTGAACACACAAATACCCTACTCATGAGAGTGAAGTAAACACACAGTAACACCAAATCAGATAGGCAAAATTTGCACCATGGCAGAGAAATGAAATTTTGATGTGTTGTAGAGGGAAGGTTGGTTGAAATATCAGTCAGGATGGCCAAGGAAGATCTTGATGAGAAAGTGGGTTTTAAGTAACCCAGGAATGTTAGGAGCAGGCCCTGAGGATATCTGGGGGAAAAGCATTCCAGACAGAATCAGAAGCAAGTGCAGAGGTATGCCTGGAGTGTTTCAGGAATAGTGAGAAATTCAGTGTGGCTGGAACAGAGGGAAGGGGATAGAAAATAGAACCTCAAGTCAGAGACAGAGACAGAGATCTGAGATGAACAGATTATGTAAGGCCTTGCAGGTATTAGGAAGAACTCTGCCATGTTCTCTGAGTGAAATGGGAGGCAATTAGAAGGTTTTGAGCAGAGGAATGACATAATCTGACATGTTTTAATAGTTCCCTTGTGTTTAGAATTGATGGAGTTAATGAAAAAAAAGAAAGAAAAGATCAATTAGCTGACTATTACACTATTCTAGATGGCAGATGATAGTGGTTTGGGCATGGAAGGTGTGACTGGCTTCTGAATATATTTTGAAGGTAGCCTGACAAGATTTGCTGACAGATTAGATATGAGGTATAAGAGAAAGAGGAAGACAGCAGTCAAGGATGACATCAAATTTTTTTGGCAGAGCAACTGGAAGAGTTGTCATTAACTCAAACAGGAAAGACTACACGAGGGGCAGGCATGAGAAAGAATAGCAGGAGCTCAATTTTGGACATGTTAAGGTTACCCAACAGAGTTCCAAATGACATATCAAGTAGGCCGTTTGATATATAGGTCTGGAATTAAGGAGAGAGATCTGGGCTGGAGATACAAATTGGGGAATCATTAGCATATACAGGGTAGTAAAAATCATGAGAAACATGATCAGAGATTGAATTCTGTGACACTTCAAGGTGTCAAATGTGGGGATGAGGAGAAACAAGCAAAACAGACTGAGATGGACGGATTAGAAAGGTGGGGAGAAACCAGGTGAGAGAGTTATATCCTGAAGGCCGAATGAAGAAAGGACCTTGCAGGAGAGAATTTCCATTTCTATCAAATATTTCTGACGGGTTAAGTCAAATGAAGTCTAAGAAATTATAACTAGATTTATTAAAGTGGAAATCAGTGGGAAGCTTGAAAAAACAATTTTGGAGGAGTGGTGGGAGTGAAAAATGCTAGATAAAGCTCAAGACTGAATGGAAGGGAAATGAGAATCAGGGAGTAAAGACAGTCTTTTTAAGGACCTCTTAGCTTAGTGGCATGACCGTGGATGATCTAATTTTCTTCTTGTTTAGCAGGAGTTTTCAAATCTTACATTATGATATGTAGTATTTTTGTAATACTTTAAAGTTTAAAAAATTTCATACATGTGTCACACTAAATGGTTTAAAAAATGCCAGACCAAAGCATTAAATAATAAATTCACAAAATTCTACAACTAAAAGACCCCTTGAAAATTTTCTTGATATATAATGATACTGTATAACCTGAGCACCATTTTCCTCACGCTTATAAAGACTACAGGAAGACTAACAGTTTCAAGGCAGTATTTCTTGCTTGATGAAAGTCATCTAACTCTAGAACATTTTATACTACTCAAATATGCAAAGTAGTCGTATTAAAATTCTGACACAGAAATAAAGCAGAGAAAAGATTCTTGTTTATACACTGAATTTCTGTAAATTGTATAATGGGAAATCACTGTTGAGCCATCTGGTGTGGGGCATGCTTCCACAGTCTCTTTAGAAAGGAAGGGTCACGGCAGGCAGGCAGGGCCCCATGGAAAGATGCACTGCATCAGCAGCACCTTGGTTTACAGCGCAGGGGCCAGCAAGCTGCCACCCACAGGCCAAAGCCAGCCCATCACCTGTTTTTGTAAGCAAAGGTTTATTGGAACACAGTCACACCCATTCATTTACCTATTGTCTAGGAGAGATTTCAGACTACAGTTAAAGAGACCTTAGGGTTTTCAAAGCCTAAAATACTTACTAGCTGGCCTTTTACAGAAAAGGTCTGCCAACCCCTGATTTGGTAGGTGGATCTGTTGATGAGTTTTATTTTAACAGGTTGTACTCAATATACTGAAATGTTTATATAGGCTAGGGAACAAATTGCCACGTGAAATCCCACGGCAATATCCAGATTAATTTGAGGGTCCAATATCTGAGCACTCATACATTGGGAACAAAACACAAAAATCTAGTAACGCAATTTTGTTGGTAACAAGGTGGAATGTCAGTGTAGCATGAAACTTTGTTTTACCACTTAGCAGACATTAGAAGTACTCTAACAAAATTTGCTTAAGATACATCAAAACAAATGCTTCAAATATACTTTAATTTTAAAACAATCAGTACACTGTAGATTAACTTCATTTTTTTAAATGGTTGCATACTACATTATTTTATGAGTATGACTTAATTTCCTTGTTGATGGGTATTTAGACCATCTCCAACCTTTTGATATGACAATGTATAATAAACATCCTTAACATATATGTATATATGGAACACAGTTACATGAATATCCTTGACATATTTATGGGTTTTACATACCCTTAACATATGTCATATTTATATATATAATAGTATATAATAAACATACTTAGAATGTGTATGGGTATGTGTAAATGTGTTGGGAGTGTCTGTGTGTGTTTATATAAGTCATGGTTTCCTGTAGGATCTAGTCCTGGAAGTGAAGCTGTTGGGATAAAGGGATGACACATTTAAAATTTTGAAACATGCTGCTAAATAACCCTTCAAACAAGATTTATCAATTTCATTTACCAATAGGGTAGGAGAATGCCTTTTTCCTCCCATTTGCCAACATTGGTTATTTTTTTAATAAAATATTTATCATTATGACTGCACAAAATATCTCATTGTTAAGATGCATTTTCCTGATTGCCAAGCAAGGGTGAATATCCCTAGTAAAAACATAAAATGTATTAATCACGAATATTAGCTCAAATTAGGATCTGCTTTATTGAAAAATAGCATTACCTACTTTGTAATCTTGCTGAAGGCTTACCTGACAGAATCCTCATTCTCCATAACAGGAAAGTGCTGCTTATCAGCTCTTCCACTCGTTTGTTGAATTAATCCATTCTCAGCAGCAGCAGCAGCAGCATCTATGTTTTCTGATATTTCCATTTCACTGCTTTTGTGCTTCTTCTTTTCTTCTTCAACCTTTAATAAAAGTTGGATACTAAGGATAATTGTTATTACTTTATTCATTAAAAAGACCTTTTTTGTTTTCATTAATTTTATCATTACAGGTCATTGACATTTTTGTACATTCTGCTTCATTTCTGTTCGAGGAAATGAAGCAGAATTTTCCAAAATTTCAAAGTGCTGTCTTAATTTTGTGCTCTTATTCACAACCGCTCTTCGCTACCTAACACTTTCACCCCGTCTGACTGGCAGACAGAGAGAAAGAAGACTACATAGACACAAAATTTGCCTTCTTCTCTTTACCTTAATCTGGATTTTGCATTAAACCACCAGATTTGGAAGATGTGACATTGTGGTGCTTCAGTGACAAACAGGAAGCCTTCCTCTCTCTGCACTGAGCTAGTCCTTCCTCCACTGCCTCTTACAATTCTTTTTCATTTGGATCCTGGGGATATCCAAAAAGTGATGGTGTTCACTAAAATAAATGACTCAAAACTCACTACCAGACAAGGAGCAGAGTGAAACTGATGAAGTGTTAGTGTAGAATTCTAGAAAATGAGGAATGTTCTGAAGTTTCACATTCACTAAACATAAAATCTTACAGCTGGAGGGTATAGAAGCAATTGACTACTTTAGCCCCATTCTTTACCAATAATGGGAGTAAAACCAAGAAAGAATAAATGACTTGTCCAAAGCTCCTAAAGTGCCATTACCTACCACTTTATCAGAGCAAAAGAGATGATATAATTCTATAATGCTCAGATAAATTACCAGATAAATTCATCAAATTAATCAGATAAATTAAAAGTGTGACTTGGTACAGTAATTAAATGCCTTAGTTGGGGGTCAGCTTCATCTACTTTTTCTTTAATATCTCTAGATTTTTATCTATCTTTAAAACTCAATGTACCTCTTATACAAAATGCAAACAAACAAGTTAAAAAATCTATTATTGGGGGGAAAAAAACCTCAATATACCTCAGAACTCAAGTTTCTCCTTCAGAGTTAAATACTGAATTTTTTGCTGAGGGTTTATGCACCTATATGATAATATCATACACATCAAAACGTAACATATTTTATTAAGCAACATAATATAAAGGTCTGACTCAACTGAAAAATCTGAGACTGCTGATAAAAAATATGTGGGAGTGTATATATTTATTATTAAAAATATCTCAAAGTGGTCATTTGGAATTCTAATTCCAAGGGTTTGAGTAAAGCAGATAAGATTGGACACACTAAAGCATAATAAATAGATTAGTTTAGCTGGGAATATTTTCTTATATCCTAATTTATCTTTAAGCCAATAGAATAAAAAAAGCCCTAGAGCTTGTTATATTTTTAAAGCAGTTTCCTTTATGCTTATTCTAGTTCAGAAGGTCACATGGTACTCAACTGAACTAGTTTCCCAGTTCAGAAGGAAGATGGACAAGAGAGACTCACGTTGATTAAGGAACAAAAATTGTGAGAATGTCTTCCTGAACGCCTATTATTTAGACGGCAGAAATAATCTATTTCTAGACACAATCACACATTTAGACAACGTCATGCTATACATGAGCTTCGTTCATAGGCGGAAAGTCAGAATGGGCCCGAGAGCTGAGAAAGAGAGAAGACACAGAGCAGCAGCACATGAACCTCTACCTCTTTGTGAAGTTGCACTTTCTCTTTTTCCAAAGCCAGGAATTCTACTTGTAACATGCCTATCTCATTCTTAAACCTTTGCATATCTTGCTGTAATTCTTCATTTAGACATACTCTGGATGTTCTGTCCCTATATGGTGGAGAGCTCACATTTTCTAATTTGGGTTCCACGCTGTTATAGTTATTAGCACTGCAATGATCTGCATATAATGGCTTCTGGAACAATTCTTTGGTTGGTTTTATTTTCTTATCAGTATTTGTAAGAGAAGAAACATTGTGCCTTTTTATTTGAATCATGTGTTTCATCCCAGTGGAACGGGCAAGCCACAAATCAAGAAGGCTTTGTGGATTACTAGACTGAGGTGTATGTCCGATGTCTAAATTCCAATTAGTGGTATTTTGGGTCACATTTTTTGTCATTTGCACATCAAACTCTTGGTCTTCTTTCACTTCAAATGTAACTACTGGGTTCCTTACTTTTTTATTTTCTGGATCATTATAAAAACTCTCCTCATTTTTGTTAAAAACATGTTCAGTGTCTGATTTATCATTTTCACAGTCTAATTTATTTTCATTTAAATAAAGCTTTGAAGATGACTGGCAAGCGTATTCCGGGGACCCAGAGTCTGAACGAGATGGAAAGACATTTTTGAGACTGGGTTCTTTTTGTCCAGGAAACGCCTGGAATAGTACAGAGACAGACACTCCAAGTGCATCTTTTTCCTCACAATCAAGTGTATAATTTGTCAAATTAGAAGAGATTTCCTTTAAGTTTGCTCCTTCTTTCGAGTTATCATGTAATGGCTCTTCCTCAGGATAAGCAGTAATTTTGTATTTTTCACAAATTTCACCAAATTTCTGCTTTAACTCATTTGTGACGAGTTTTAAATTATTTTTCCACTCTAATTTGCCTTGTGTGATCCACATTTCCTTATACTTTTGCACACAAGGAAGTGCTGAATATACAGGTATATCCTCTCTATCACATTCCTTATTCATTACTGGTTCTTGAGGCATTTTTGGCAGACGCAAAAGTGGAAGATTAATTTGCTTGCTTTGATTTTCAGATGTCTTTTCTGTTAGGGTGTATGTTTGTAAAATAGCTTTATCCTTAAGTAAGCAAGTAACGACAAAGAAAAATTAGAAAACAATTAAAACCTAACTGTTAAACTTATTAATCTATGTTTACTTCCAAATCATTGCACTGTAACTAAGAAGTGAAAAATAAGTTGACTTAGCCTGAAATAGGAGAAAAACATGAACCTGTAAGCCTAATTTTCTCACTGTTTGAACTAAACAATTCATTATATGTTATATCTACCAAAAACAAATTAGGAAATGATCTGTAATGCTACAAAGGCTTCCTCACTTAAAGATATTTGACCTCACCATACCTTAAACAGCGAGCCCCAACAGTGCATTTAAGGATCTTATTTTATAGATTAATACTGGGGAACAGGTAAACGTTAACTTACTAGAAACCAAAATCAATTAACATCAATCAGAAAGAAAAGCAAATTCCTAAATTTTAATTCCAATTATATACTATGATGGTATCATACATCAATATAGATTATCCGCTTGTATCTAGTTCTAAGATAGTCTAATATCCACTAGTGAAAGTGGATAAAAATTTTTTAAAAACATTTACTGATTTTCTACACTGAAATGAAATACATTAGAAAGTTATTATTTGTACCCTAATAACAAAGCTCCTATCCTGGAAGGTGTGATTCCCTTAATAGGCAGCTGTCTTAATCTTACGACTCCATTCTCTCCTAAATGTAGACTCTGAAGTCCATTCCACAGAGATAGATCACAAGGCAGAATAAATCTTTCATCTTGGCATTAGTGACTGGCAGTATCAAAGTGCAAATTTTGACCCACTGGGAATGATTACACTTTTTATAGGACTTCAACTCAGTGGCCATCATTGTTATATTGTTCATAATTTTAACTGCCTACTCATAAGATTCAATATTTGATGTTACTTTCTTCATCATGTAGGGAAGTTATACAAACAGAAGTAAACAATATTCAGGAAATTTTTTGCCTCAATTCCAGCAATAAATTTTAGCTATAAGTTCCTACAGATTCTGACTATTTTAAGTGTTGTAACTAGTTAAATTGTTATAAAATCTAATATTAAATGATGATCTATTAATTCTAAAAGGCTAGTTTGAAAGGTAATTTCATTTAGACTATGTTACTAAAGCATAGAAAACAAGATTAAATCAGAAATTTAAATTTATATTTTTACGTACCTGCAGGTGGTTATTTTCACTTCCGTCAAGCCTTTCTTGCTCTTCCTCTGATGTGATTTCCAAGTCTACTTCTGCTGACAAAGCTATATATTTAGTTAAAATGAGCTACTTATAAAAATGGTTAGATAAAAAGTATAATCTTTCTAAAAATAGATTAAAAATAACATTTTATCAACTGAGAGTTTAAATTAAACTTAATCTTTACCTGAATATTTACTTCTTTAAGAAATAGTGTATCTAAAACTTCAAGAAACCATTTGGAAAATACTAGATGTCACCAGCTTCAAGGCACACAAACATCTCAAGGATTCATTCACGAATGCATCCACCCAATATCAATGAACACAACAATCAGAAACAAAACAAAATTTAGCAATACAGTACACACATATCGAGTCACACAATATCCTCTATCTTATAATAATACCTTTTTAACACACTAAGCTTCAACTACAACAATATTCGTGGTTTCCAACATTACTGTTACTTTTTATGCCTTTCTCAGTGTACCTCCTTCTATATATCTGAAATGTTTTCCTCTACCATTCTGACAAATGTCTTTTCATCTTTTAAGACTCAGCTTACTTTGTGAAGTCTCCTTGATTACAGCTATCTTTCTCCAGCTAAACAGGTGTCTCCTTCCTTGGCGCTACCTCAGTACTTTATAGATTTTTCTGGTGTATCTTCACTACCTGAACTGTGAATTATTTCTTTACACATATATCCTCTTTGCTCCTAGGTTGTAGGGGACAATCCCTTCAATCATCTTTGCAAAAACAGTCTTTATTTATTTTACTCAACAATTATTTGTTGAGTTCCTGCTAAGTAGTAGGCACTGAGATTTAAAGAAGAACGTAGGTTAAAGGTGTCAGGGATGGCTTTTGTAGAGTTAATGCCTGAGCTGAGACAAACAGTGGGGTTAGCCAGATTCAAGGGGGTAGAAGGCAGGAAAGGGGGAGAGCAGGCAGGGCTGTAGCAAGACAGGAGAGAAGCACACAGTAGGGGAACTGTTGTCTAAAGTACAGAGATTGTGAGGAAGGCACCATCAGCAGTTCAGTAATGCCAGGGGAAAGGGCAGGCAGGAGAAAGGGCCAAGGATGGAGAGATAGGCACAAGTCAGATTATGAAAGCCTTACATGTAATTTTAAGATGCCTGGACGTGAATGTGTCTTACAGAGTGGTTCAGGGTCATATTTGCGTTTGAGAGAGATCACTCTAAATGCTGTGGGAGGGATGAATTACAGAGGCACATGAATAAACGGAGGCAGACGAACTGGAAGGCAGTAAGTCAAAATAAAGATGATGCAGGCCTGAACTGAGGGAACGTTTCCAGAAATACTTAGGCTATAAAATGACCAGGACCCAGGTTAGAAGAAATCTTTAGGAAATGAATAAATGCACAAATCCTGGGTCCCTGGAGAACTAGACTCTGCTCATTACTTTACAAAAGGCATCAACTGAGAAGAGAAATGACCTGTGTGAACTGTCTGAAGTTGCTTGTAGTTATTCGGTAGTGTTTCTGTTTCACATCTCCCTGTGTGGAGGGAGCTTGCGTAGGTGTTTTAAAGTCCTGCTTCTTGGTTCTACCAAGCTCATAAAGAAATACGAGCAAACAAGTCACTTGCACAGGTAAACAGCTTTGGACCAATAGCTTGTAGACACTACTCTGGGAGATAATTGAAAATCTTTTGTAAATACAATGTTAAATTCCAGAGGTAAGGAAAAAAAAGAAGATAAAACTATAGGGGGGAATACTGTATGATTTATTACTACAGATCTTATCATAAGACTGATTAAGGGCACTGAATTAACTGGTACATAAAGTGGAACACGTATTAGACAGTTAACAGAATGGGTACCCTAGTAGAATTAAAATTGACTTTTCAGGTATTATTTCTAAATGAAACAGCACTCCTTAAAACGAATATTCTTTGTGAACTATTTATTCATTAAAAAAAATAATAAACAAGGTGATAGACTTTGTGGACACAGCTGAGAAGGAGGTACCATGTAGCAAATTCTCAATGATTCCCATTACTGTTAGGAAAGCCAGTTCCAAAATATATAAGGGGACAGAAATACAAGAAATATTTTAATATTTGGTTTTGGAAAGTGTTTTTTTACTTATAGTGAATATAGTTCTAAACAATACTTGTGAATTCAGAGCTATAAAACAGAGCAAGAAACCACGTTACGTTTGAGAAGGTAATCTTCAGGGAAAAACTAAAGTTCTAAATATAATCCCAAAATTCTAAATATAATCCTTCTCCCCACTCTCAAGTGTATGCTAAATATTAGTCTAAACAAAATTACTCTTTCTCCTAATTCTCTTTGTTATTTATATGTTGCTTTGGTTACAGAAGAATGCAAATATCTTGCTAAAACATCTTTTGTTTGGTTGTAGGTTACATAAACAGAGTAAACATAAAGTAAATTTTGCCAAAAACTGATTTTTGAAGTCAGAACTATGGCGAGGCCGTGCAGATGGGATCTAGGGTCGAACTCTCTATGCTTCTTTATTACCTTCTTTTCTCTCTCTGTTTTCTGGCAGCTGTGATTCACACAGGTCATGGAGTGTATAATTCCCTACTAGAAACACAGCTCCAATATTCATCTCTTCTTTACCTACTAATGCCATCTGTCCAAATTCTGTGGATGCTGTCTGATTTTTGGTCATTGACTGTGATACAAATGGACATTTATCACCAACTTTCAAATTCCCGGATCTCTGACAAGTCTGGTTATTGAGGGTCAGACTAGTAGAATCCCAATCTGAAAATAAAGTTTTCACTCATTAGAATGTAAACAGTACAAATCTGACTAACTTGTACAAATTCTTCAGAGAAGCAGTCCCACGTCCTCCTCTCTCCCCTAGAACACACTATTCCTTATGGTACACTTTATTTTACACGTCCTATACTTGTCATTCACATAGATAAGTTCAATTAACTACTGTCTCTCATTTTTGTACTTCTTTATTTTCTAGTATTACTTTCTTTGATTCACTCAGAAATTTCTATTACATATTCTGTTTTCCATAGCGCTCTGTTTATTAATAATTAAGATTCTTCAGGGTATGAATTTTTTTGTTATTAACAAAATTTATGTCTAGTCATTATTTTACGTTTAAATATGCATGGCAGTATTGTGTGTGTTCTAGAAATACGGGTTTTAAAAAAACTTTTAATGAATAGTACTACTTGAAATAAAAAACTACTTTAACTACAATGAGATGTTCTTTCCTTAATGTACCAATATCTTCAGAATTCACTTTTTAAGCCTTAGATAAACATCATAAATTTATATGAGAAATGATAGCCTTGAGTGACTTCACTGTTTCCATGGAAAAAGAGGGTAAGCCTTGGCCCACACTAGATCCAAAGAGTGCCATCAGACAGGAAATGAACATACAACAAAAATATTTTCTTTTTTATTAACAAATATGTCAGATTAAACTATTCAAGACAAGTGAGAGAAAAAAGCAACAAACATAGAAGTGAAACGTTAAAGCGCATTTCATCAAAACAGTCCCTTTTCACATCCATGAACCCTGTACGATCATGCGTCACTTAACGACGGGGATACATTCTGAGAAACGCGTCATTAGGGGATTTTGTCATTGTGCCAACATCAGAGCGCAATACAGGGTTTAAAATGGTGGTTCTCAAGTGTCACCTGAGACTTCCTGGAGTCCCAAGATCCTTCCATTCAGGGAGTCCAAGAGGTCAAAACGATTTTTACAATAATACTCAATGTTTTTGCCATTTTAACTCTCATTCTCTTATAAGTGTACAGTGGAGTTTTCCACAGACATAACATGTGACAACATCATCTCTCTAATGGCTAATGGGTCATGGCTCTAATGGCTAATAGAATATATGATTGTGCATGCTTGTATTTTAAATTTCTCACTTTTACTTTCTAATATTGAATCAATAGATACAACTCAAACAAAAGTTCTTTGGAATTCTCAATAATTTTTAACAGGATAAAAGGATATGAAGGCCAAAAAGTTTTAGAATTACTGTTTTAAAAGACTGTGTTTACTAAATGTTAAGGTATGATTAATTATTTCCTCCATTTTTAACAATCAAAGACACCACACACACACACACACACACACACACGGTCTGAATCAGAACATCTGGTTGGCTTAAGATCATCAATCTAACAACACTAAGATGAAATAATTAAAGTTAAAACACAACTGACATGTTAGCAAGTGAAGCTTTACTCTGGGTAAAGGTCAGAATTCACACAAGCATTTTAAAACACTGGAAAAAATCTTAGAGTCTAATAATTAACCTCTGGGAATCCCTAATAAGTGCATGGATTCCAAAGTGGGATCTTTAGGGTATCAAAACATAAAAGAAGAAACATCTGAGCTAAAGCTTACGTTTTAAAAATCTCTTTTTCTTATGTTTATAAATATCTTTTTTTCAAAGATGGATACCAACAATGACATTGCATTATTTATGTCAAATTATTTCTATTAAATTTGCAAAAAAAAAAAAAGAATTAGGAATAAGAAGACTGTGAGCACTTCAAATATTTTAGTGTGCTGCTTGCCAGAGCTCACTTTGTAGTGCAAAATTTACCTGATCTGGATGTTCGTGCATCCTTCCTTCCTCCTGCTTTCTTGGGAACAGAATCTTGCACATCAATGGTAGGCTGAATGGGTTTTGAAACAAGATGATTAATAAATAATATACATTTCATACAATCTGTAGTTAATAACTCAAGTAAAAATATAAAAGTTATTACCTTCAAGTGAGGACATTTTTCAGGAGAATCTAAAAAGCAAAAGGGACATATAATCAATTATATGTAAACATGAAAGTCCACTATACATTCATGCAGAATTAATGTTGAGCTGAATCCTCATGCTTGGCTTTGGAAATGATTACATTAAGTTTTGGAGTTTTGCTTTTTAGGGGGAATTAGGACAGCAACAAGACAGAATACAAATCCATTATAAACACTGAAGAAATAATAGGAATATAGGCTTACCCAAACATGCAGTTAAGATTTCAAAGTAAGATCATGTTTCAGATGACTAGAACTAAAATAGAAAAGTGCACATACACCAATGTGAACATGCTGAATGATGGGGAGAAGAGTGACCTTCAATCAGAGGAACAAATCATGACTCTAAGAGGATAAATGCAAAAGCTGATGGTAGAATGCAGCAGCATATCTTCAATGAATGCATTAGAATCATTTATACCATTATACTACAAGTATGTATCATATTCTTCAATTGTTCTGTAATTTAGTGCACAGTTGTGATGACAGTTCAATTGAATGCATAATTCATTTCCCAACAGAGAAAGTTTTATGAATTGATCAGCTTGGATATACACTTGTAGAATAATAGTTAATAAAAATATTCATTTTTTTCCATACCCACGTGAGCTACTGGTATGCCTACATTTCTTTTATCCTCTAGTTTAGCCATCTTAAAGTTTCTTGATCCACTCATGCAAGAAGGTACATAAAACACATCTAAGAAATAATGCATAATAAACATTCAGTACTGAAATATGATTATCAAAAAGGAAAACAATAAGTGTAATTGCCATAGAATATTAGATGTTAATGTCCTTTTCATGTCTCTTTTGCCTTACTATGCATTTAACAGGTGATTTTCTTTGGCTATTAGAATATATCAGTATTCATGTTTTAAATCAAGATTCTGTCAAATAACTTTTTATAAAATATAGTTCTTACCTTCTACTTGTTCATTTAACATATTTTTTCCTTTTTGGTCTGCAGCTCCAGATAAATGATCAACATACTTCTGTGGAAGACTCTCAGAAATACTCTGTTAAAATTAATAACAATAATGATGTGTATAAAGATTTCCTAATCCCGTTCTAAGAAAATACCTGAATGTCCTATTTTAAAAGCAACTGGAGTTAAAAATAAGAGAAGCATGTATGTAAACCAAAACATGTACATAGAAACCTTCATACATGCTCTCTAGATCACGTCTATCTTGTATCTTCATTTGGCTCTTGACTCTGTAAACTGAGCGTGGAAGGGCAGAGTAAATATTTTCATAGACAAACACTGACTTAAATGCACATTTCAACAAGGAACTAATTTCAAAACACCTAACTCTACTCGGCATTCCCCACCAAAGCAAGAAGACATTTTTAAAAATACACATTTAAACAAATTCTTCAATAAGCATACTTGCTATAAATTTACAATATTTCTAATGACCAATGTTTTTTAGGATTAAAATAAGAAAACATGACGTGATAAGAAACTTTGGAGTATGTCATGCTGAATATAAACAGAACACTGTAGAAGCTGCTTCATTTAGCTAAACAAGGGCTTGAAACAATCTACTATTTGATAAAATTTGTATTGATAGGAAAAACGGTTGAATAAAAAAGCAAAGTAGTAAGAAAAGCTTTTCTTTAAATTATGTTTAAATAATAGAATGAAATTTTAGGCATAGTATGCAACTCTTCAAAAAAGTATTGTGAGTTTTAATAAGAGAAGAATAAGACCATTTATTTACTAACCATCTAAATGTGCCAGATGCTTACTATCTGCATTTTCTTTTCTACACACAACAACAATAATAAAAATGATATGATGACAGTTACCCCACTCCTGCTCCCTGGTCATCCACGATGGCAGAGTAAAATGAACGGATGTGATCCACTGTTCCCTCTGTCCAGAATGTCTTTCTCCTAGACCTTCACACGACTGGCTCCTTCTCATCCTCCACTTGGCAGCTTTTGTCATACTCAGAGAGATCTTTTCTGAGCATCTAGATTCCACTCCTACTCCCATCCCCATCCTAACCACAAACTCCCCCAATATTCTCTAACCTAACATTCTCCATTTTCTTTATATGAAGTACTTAGAGTGACTTATAACAGATAGTTGACAACTCGTTGTTCTGCCCCTCCCACTCCAGCCTAATCCTTCAACTTGTACATTCAGTGTCTAACTGCCCAGCACATAGTTGGTATTCAACCAGAGAAATTCACTTAAGGTCACAGCATTTAAAATCTCATTGAGGAGGCCTCAAGTACCAAAGCAACATACCTACAGGATATCTTCACTAGTAGCCTAGTGAAACTTAACATACTCCAGATTAGAAATCCACAAGCCCATTCTAACTTTCCCATTCTTTTCTTGATACTATTGTCATTTTACTGCCCTTCAGATTGAAAAAAGTGTCCTCATTCTTTAGTAAGTCACTAAATACCACTGTGTCTTACATTTCTACAGCATCCTTTACAGTTCACAAAGTGTTTTCACATTTGTTACCACATTTGTTCATTACATACACCTGAGAGGCAGGTGTCACTATCATTTTTATGAATGAGGTCACTGACATTTTGAACAGGTTAAACAAGCTTTTCCAAGATCCCATAGCTAGTAAGTGACGGAACTAGGATGCGAGCATGTCTTTCGACTTCCAATATGGTGCTCATCCCACTGTGCAGCAGCTGCCTATATCTAAGAGGCCAGGCCCTTATCGCTTTCCAGAGTTGTCACCTTAGAATAGGTCATCATTACTTTACACTTATGTTACTACAAGTATGGCTGCCATAAAGATACTCAATGCATGCTATTTAAACTATCCAAAATAGTTTTTACTTATTAAAACATCACTAAATCAAATTGCTACTGTTATAATCCCACATATTTATCGTTATTCCCCATGCTTTCCCTTCTCCTGAAATGTTCCTTGCAGGTCTACCTGACAAAGTGTAATACTTTGAAGTCCCAGGCATTATCTTTTCAAGTTCCAAGCTGAAAAACCTATGATCCTAACTGTATCTCTCCCAATCTCTCCAAGAGTTTTATGTATCCATATACACCATAGAATCACACACGTGGCCATTGGTTGACCTAGAATAACTCCTTAGTTTCTACAGAAACTTACTTCAGAACCCAAAGTGATGCCCTATGACTTCTAAGCCTTAGTTTTTTGCACTATATACATTGGTTTCAGTAAGTGAATCTTGCAAATTAGCAGAACTGTACTATGCAGTAGTATTACATTAGGCATATAATTATTTTATTAATTTTGATAGGCAAATGCAGAGGTGAGGAAGTCAAGTCAAAGCCTCTCTTTTTATGTTTTAACACCATTTAATGCTTACATTTAAAAGAATAATAATAATAGAAGACAGTACCTCAGAATCCCAAGGTGATTCTACACCGTCCTCTTCTCCTAATCCTAATGCTGACATCAGATCTATGAAATATAGTCACAGATACATTAATGAGAAGATTTATTACAATGAATTTTAAATACATATACAAGTCTATTTCCATTCATGAACACTTCAATAAAATAAAAGCAATAGCAGAAAACAATTTCAGAGGGTTGAAGCATTTTCAGCAAGAAAAAGTTGGTAGTAGTTGGGATATTTATGAAGAAAGATAGCAAAAAAAATACTTAAAAGAAACAGATATCAAATTTGGATCTACACGCTTCACATTTTTTTATTCTAGCATTTAAGCATAAAAAAATTCACATATATTCACTAACTTACCACTTCTATTATCTTTGTGTGCTCCCTCAACAGAAATCAAATTGTCATTATTTGTTTGCTCTTGTGGAGTACTTTGAATAATATCAATACCATTTTCTTTTTTCCCAGTTGCTGACTTTGTTGTTTCTTCCTATAAAAGCAAAACAAAACAAAATCCAACTTCAGAAAACATCACATTCGTTCACTTGCTCACTTGGTCAGTCAGTAAGACAACCAACATTTACTGGATCTATCAAATCAGAGGCATTATCCTGGGAGAAGCGGGAAATATAAGTAAAAGAGATTCTAATAGAGTAGAGCTACATGAAAACACAAGGAACAGAGAAGCAGCAGCCACTAGTTCTAGAACCAACGAGAATCAAGTACAGTAGCACAGGGGAGAGAAAAGTCAGGTGCTATCTGGGAAGCTCAGGAGAGGCTGCAGACATAGGGCTGGATCTCGAAAGACAGATACAGCACAGTGGGAGCATGTGAAGGGCATTCTAGAAAGGGGAGCGTGAGCAGAAGGTATGAAACAACATAATACGTGAGGGGAATACAGTAATGTGGTAAAACTAGAACCACTTATTGAGAATAGGATGGAGATAAAACTGGAGAATCAGAACCAAACACAAAGGCAAGTGTCGTGTGAGCAGGTGAACTTTATCCTTCACGCAAATGGGGACCCACCACATGAGCAGAGGAGTTACATCATCACAAATATATTTTAGAAAGGTCACTCTGGCAGCAATGTAAAGAGGAACATAAGGGGAGCAAAACTAGAAAAGAGTATTTCAAGATTAGAGGTGAGAAAGTTAGCTACAGCAATAAATTTTAATTTTGGGAATATTATAGTAATAAGCATTTTTAAGTTGAATGAAAATATTTAATATTTAATAGTAAAACATCAATACAAGACTCCTTTTTTTGTGTGTGAGGAAGATTGGCCCTGAGCTAACATCTGTTGCCAATCTTCCTCTTTTTGCTTGACCAAGACACTTGCTGAGCTAACATCTAGGCCAATCTTCCTCTATTTTATATGCGGGACACTGTCACAGCATGGCTTGATGAGTGGTGCATAGGTCCATGCTCAGAATCCAAACACGCAAATCCTGGGCCACCAAAGTGGAGTGCACAAACTTAACTGCTACCCCACTGGGCTGGCCCCCACAAGACTCCTTTTTAAAACTTAATTTTAAAAAGACAAGTTTTAAGTTGTAGAAGAGAAATACTTATGTGATTACAGAATTATGATGTATTTTTAAGTACTAATATGATGTATGAAAGAAATATAAAACTCTATTTTAAAATTCACATGGTTTTCCCATTCCCCTGTGAACTGCATACTAATAGCTCTAATTTCCTATCTACACCATATAGGATGGTAATTAAAGATCAGAGAAAGGATCTAGTATTTTAAAATTAGTAAAACTAAGCTTATCTAAGTTGAAGATGTCAAAGTCTTCAAATACAGCTCTGATGATCAGGCAGGACCCAATATTCCTGGGGAAGAAATGGACTAGTAGAAACAAGTAGTTTCTACTAGGAAAAAAATCCTAAGTTGCGATTTCATTCATTTAATATATACGTATATGTCCATTACATGCAGATTAATACTAGGAAAAGATAAATCAGAATAAATACATCAGAAAAATAATTTTTTTTTCTTTAAGAGTACTACAGCTTAAAATTTAATGGACAGATTAAGAACCTCATTTTCATAAGCAGAAATTTTAATTTTAATAAAACATTAAGTACATACCAAACAGTAAGTTAGAAACCATAAGAAACAGAAGGGCCAAAAATTCACAATTCATAATAAACTTGGTAAGGCCTAAAACAATTTCTTTGCATTATCAATGGACAAAGATTTTGCTTGATTAAACATAAGATATCACTTTATTAAACTTAGAAGTGAGAATTAAAGAAAAAAAATAAATTCAAATTAAAACTTTGATGACCAAAAAAAGGATAAAGATTAAATTTTCTTTCACTTCTTCATAAAAATTAGCTAGAAATCATTCAAAAGAGTCTGAGTACTTTTTCATTACCAGGTTTTCTTTTCTTAATTTGCATTTAAAATAATTTCTATCATATTTTATAATACAGAGGAATTCCTTCTCTCAATTAACTCTACTATTTCTGTTGTGTTTTATAATAATCTGTCTCATCGTGACTCTCTTATTCAATCTTTATATTCATCTTGCCCTTCTGAAATAGATTCTTCCCCTTTGTCCCCCACCCATCTTCATATTCATCCAGCTGTTCTTTCTAGTTGCTTTTTAATCCTTTTCTTCCAAAACGGCATACCTAGGAACTGTTTATTCCCACCAACCTTTATAAATCTCAATCCTGTACTTACATCCCTCTTGTTATTATACCTGTTTTCTATCATGATCTTGAGGACTTCCATTTCTTTCTTAAGATCATTTTCATCATTATAAGGATCAGGGGGATGGTATGTGAAAAAACATGGGGAAAAAAGTTTTTTAAAAAAACAACAAAACAAAAGAACTTACCTTTGTAAGATCAAGGTCTGCAAAAGACCTCACAGTAGGTTTTAGAAGAGGTTCAGGTGACGGAAAGGCAGGAGGAGAAAAGCCCTGGACTTTGATTGATGGTTTGGGAAGAGTTTCAACCACATCTTCATTTTCACTATCAGAATTATCGTCCTCAAATAGCATTGTATTTTCCGGTCTCACAGTACCACGTTTTGCTTCTACTACAGCAAAAACAATGTAAAGAGTACATGAAAATATCTGTAATTTCAAATCAATGAATACACAAAAATGAACAGTCTTCAAATAGCTTACTGTTTTTCTTGGATTGCTGAAAAGCAGTCATTAGCTTTGTTAAGCTTGGTTTTGGGACATTCTAGAAAAAAAATAACAACTTTAAGAATAACAACTATCAAATTGGATAAAACAATTATAATATTGCCCATCACTATATGATCTAACACAAAGAGCACAGGCTTTGGAGTCATTCAGATGCAGGTTCAAATCTCAGTCCAGCCATTTACTAACCTACATCTTCTCACAGGGTGAAGATTACGAGAGATGACATAGGAAGCCCTAATATGTTACTTCCTTTACCCATAATTGATTATTATACAAATACTATAATGTCCATGACATTATTTTCTTTACTAAAATAACCTAAAACAAAAATTTATCCTGAGGTAGGTTAAATTATTATTGAAAATATTAACATTAAGAAACTTAAACTATTTGTTATATTTTGAAATGTGTTTGCACCAATATTTGCATGAATTATCTCTTTTGGGGGGAAATATGATAGTTTAGTTTTTAGTAGTATCTTGTTTAGATGGGTTGGAATCACACACAGTATAAGCTGTTTCTATTCTGTTTGTCAAAAAGTTAAAGACAAATGATTGTTTAATCTAGCGCCTTCTAAGAAAGAGGAAAAGAAAGAAAAAAGAATAAACCTGTGGGGCCATGATTCATGAATGAAAGCCACACACATACTAAATAGAAAGCCATATATGTCGACAAAGATGACAGAGAGAGAAACACTGAAAGAACAGACAGTGAAGAAATGTTTTCCACAAGGAAAAAATTAGCCAAGGGTAAATCATAAAAATAAATGGTGGAGGAGAAGAAAGGAAAAAAATGAGTCATGATCAGTCAATCAAGTACGAGCTTAAGACAAGGAAAACGTTAAGTAAAATAAGGTATGTGAAGAAACATACATATGTATTTCAGTATATGTAACTATATATATATCAGTAATATGTCAGTATTATTAGGACTGTACTAGGATCTGTCCATAGGACAGCCCTAATCATACTGATTTATATTACTCTATAATTACTTGTTTATAAATACTACTGCAATAAAGAGTTTAATTTTGTCACTACAAAATAAGTCATTCAATTAGTTGAACATGGTCATCTTCACTACCTGAAAACTGTAAATTATTACTAGACAGAAAGAAAAATAGAGACAGAAATGTTCCTAACACATCTTTCCACCTGAAGAAAGACTTGGTAATCAGAATTCTAAGGAGAAACATAGCTTGAAAAGATAGACAGTTAGCCCTCTGTATCCACATGTTCCACATCCACAGATTCAACCAACCTCGGATCATGTACAGTACTATGTTTATGATCCATGGTAGGTTGAATCTTGGATGCAGACTACCGGATACGACTAAGGGACTTGAGCATCCATGGATTTTGATATCCGCAGGGGTCCTGGAATCAATCCCACGAGATATCAAAAGATATTACAATGCTTCATACATGCAAGACCTACTCTAGGTGCTCCAGGATATGCACAATTATGCTTCCTAACCCCCAGCAGCTGACAGTGATGCAAGGGCTTTACAATGAATATTTAAATAACTATAATACAAAACACCTGAAATTTTAGAATGTGACAGAAGGACTTCGAGTAGGTATTTTTAAAAACCATAATAAAAAATTCCTGAAGTTTGAAGTGTTACCATATAGTTATTAAGAGTCTCTGTTTCTCGAATTGGTTGTTTTAGGCAAAACATGTATTTTCAATCAGATGAAGAGTTTTAAATATACTACTCTTAATGGAATGATTTAGAAAACACAGTGTAATCCCTCTATAATATACATTTTGAGAAAGAATTTAACTTGCTAGATTTCTACAATTTTTAATATTATTTCAGTCCAAATGCAGAACCAAGGATAGAAACAGAGAAAAAACCTCTTTCCTAACAACTACATGATACCAAAATAAAAAGTGTCCAAGAAGAAAAAGCTATATGATACATACTATATAGTTTTGGAACTGAAAGGCATCAGGGAAATTCCCTGATTATTAGACTACGTAATTGGACCCATTAAAGATTTCATTTAGGCCTGAGTATTATAAACGTCCTGTTAGTATGATTTAAAAGTCACAGTAAAAATCCTTATCCCTGACCACATTTCCTATTTCCTCCATTGTGGGAAAGCTTCTCCCAATATAATCTTCCTGTCTCTAGATATGTTCCAGCTCATTCTCTTCTTCAGCCGCCTTCAGTATTTATCAGAGTAAAAAAAACAGACAACTAGTCCTATTTCTATCAAACGGTTTGCTCTGACCAACTTTCCATAACAAACAAAAAACGATGATAGGTGGACCCTGCTAATCTTTAAGAGTAAATACCACACAAAACTCAATTCTGAGCAGGAAAATTAATTTCATGAGACAGTACTTTACCTTGGTATCAAAGTCTAAGTCTTCATCATCCGATGTAGGCCATGAATCATCAATGCCAGCTTTGTCGGAAAGCCTTTAGAGCAAGAATATACAACAAAAACAAGTGAGTTCACTGCTGTAAAAATACAAGAACAACAAAAACTCAAGTGAAAGGTTGGCTATCTATATATTAAATGAGGTTTCTTGATATAACTAAAATGTGCCTTCTTCTTTAAAAAAACTTTCAATTCTCTATTTCTGCCTCCACATCTGCCCACCTATGAAACATCCAATGAAGACCACTCTAAGTTCCCATAACAAAGAGTGACAGCCAATACACAGGCAGAGCTTGAGAATAATTGGTTTTCACCAAAAGTCCTGAAGGCTGAATTGAAAATCTAATTAATGGCTGACATATTTTGCTACCTGAACTGGAACAAACCTGATGACCTAAACAAGGCAGAAGGGTACACTGTCCCTTCTCCACTACCTGTCCCTGGTTCAAAGACTAATCTATGTCAGTCAAAAATGCCAGTCTTGGTTCTTCAGGATGGAAAGCACTTATTAAGGTGACCCCATTCCTTACTTTTGCCCTAAAACAGTTCAGGGCATTCCCTGAAATGTTTGAGTTAAATGTACAAAAGTCAAAGAACAAATTTACACGTTGTTAGCTGGAATACTATTCCCACAGAGATTAAAACATTAAAAATTATAAAGTCCAAATATTTTTGCCATATGGGTCCTCCTCATGTCGGTCCACATAAACCAGCAAGCCCTTAGACACCTTCATAGGCCCCCAGAAACCACGGAGGGAGACTGCTATAAAAGCAGAGTTCCGGTAGTGGTGCCTCTATGGCCCTTGTGCTGTCTAAATAGCTTCCTTCTTACGGCTTCCCGCTCCCAGCTTGCTCCTCTGCAGGGCTCCCTGACAGTCTCCAACCTTCAAATCTTCAGACTCCTGAAACAAGGATGGGCTCAAATGACCAAGAGTAGGAGCTGTCTATTTCCCTGCTCCTGGAAAACAAGCTAAATGGAGTCAGTTGTCCACTCCCAACATAGGCATGTCGCCAACTACCCAACTGAAGCCCCATGACTGATTCGACAGCCAGTCCTACCCCTGCCCAACCCTACATGAACATGGAAAGGACAACAGTGAACTGGGAAAAGAAGTGGAGAGGAGAAGACACCTGCCTTGGGCCATAGACTTATGTAGCGCAGCAATCTCCAGTCCCCTAGGACTTGAGGGGATCAAAGCCACCTTCTGGAAGTTGGGGTGGAGGTAGCTGATACCACATTCTTATTTGCTATAAAAAGAATCTCCCCAGTGGCTCAAATTATTTCAATACCTTTTGATAGAAACTTTGAAGTTTGCCAGTTCCTCCAATTAAACAAACAATCAAAAAAGCAACCTGTCCAGGACTCCCTTGAACCCTCTATTTTACCCACGCCTTTCTAGACAACTCCCAACATCCTGTGTCCTTCATTCCTGTAATTTCTCTTTATCTAACTTGTCATAAACCCCAATATTCTCATCTCTTTTCTCCTGTCTGATCTCTGATCTTTTTTCTAAAACCCTTATTCCTAGCCTAACCCAGTGTTCCTCTTAGAACTTGGCTCCCCCTGCTAACGTCATTCTTACCTCCTTCCACTGCAATCACCAGAACCACTCCCCATGTTCCTACTATTAAAACACTCACCTACAGTATGATAAAGAAGGAAGAGTACTGGGTTTAGAAACCTGAATTTAAGTCTCATTTCTCCCACTTACTTTATTCAAATAAGTCACTTTAATCTCTTTGAGTTTCAAATTCTCCACGTGAACAACCACTTGGCCAGGATATTAAATATAGGATGAAGTACTAGAGGGTGTTTTGATTAATTAATCTCTAAGATTCCTTAGAGTCCTGAAATTCTATGTGCTTTTGGTTCTGTCTATAGAAAAATGGAGAATACTTAACTGGCAGAAGTGGAAAAAATAATAGAACAAGAAAAACAGCAAATAAAGCAGAGAAGAAAGTAAAAAATCAAGAGAAGATTATGGAAAAGTCATAGAAGAAGAAAAAAAGACTCTAGGAAAAAAGAAAAACTTCACAAAACTAGGCAAGGGTATTAGCCTCAAGGGAAAACCAGACCGGAAAGCAGTAAGTAGAGAAATCATTTAGAAATATTCTCTAAATAGATGCTGAATTTAATTAACGTAATATGGTCTATATGTAGATATTCTTCCCTTACAGAAAAATAATTCATCTCAAGAAGAGTAGATCTCATTATACCTAAGACTTGCCTGATTAGGTCTTGCTTATGTAAAACCTATGGTGCTGTGGCCATAGCTTACCTTTGATGGTAAAAACAAGGTACTAGTTACTACTTCAAATATATTAGGACAAATACTTGGACAAACCAAGTTTCTTAGGGAAAGTCTAGATCAGAGTTAATATTAAGACATAACTAAATCTGACTTTCTGAGTTGATCTGATTGGGATCTATCTCTTGATCCCAGTGCTGCACAGGTACCTGCCAAGCTACGCTGAGGGACAAGAGGATGGACTGCAGAGCCAGGCAGGCTAACGGGTCAGTCACTTGTTAACTATGGAATCATGGGCTGATTATTCAACCTCCCTGAACCACAGGTGCCTAATTAATAAAAAGTAGACTAAAACAGCACAGCTACATTGCAAAGCTATTGTGAAGACTCCATGAGATAACCAATGTCAAGCAAAGATATAGTGTCTAGCCCAGAGTAAAAGACTCAATAAACGCTAGTTGCTTTTCTCTGTATTCCCCTAGTTAACAAATAATTTTTAAAAATCCATAAAATCCTACCTGCTTAAAGAGTATTCTTCAGAACTCTCATCCACTATTCAAGAAAAAAGTAAAACACATTTTAAATCAACAAGAGAAAAATACAGAATTGTAAAAGTATAAGACTGATGCTTTGTTAGAAAGCATTCCTTTGGGACCGCACCTGGAGACTACACTAGAGTGAATATTAATTACACCATTGGTAGGCAATCAATGCATTAGGAACTCTTACTTCCCCTCCTTTATATATATCAAATTCAAGAAAAGAAGAATCAGATTTATCAAAATTTGATACTGCAAGTGAACTGCTATTTACAATGACCATAATCCTAACTAAACCCTACTGGACTCTCAGAAAATTGTTTTAGGGAATCATTATCACAAATTGACAATGTCAAACTTAAACAGCATGATTTTTCTGGACTTCCGGCACTAGGAGCAGTCAGAAGAGAGTAAACTTATTTTGCTGTGACACAACACAATCTCTCTAGCTATTTGGTTGAGACTATCCAGTTTAGGATGAAACATCCTGTCACAAGCAAGCTCAGTCTACAGGCTCTGTACTTTGCAGCATGGCAAAACACAGGAAACACTCTCTCTGCCCTTTACTTCCAGTTGCAAGATAAGTATGAAGGACTTTGTGATTCCAGGTTTATAAAGTATAACCTCTTGAGATTGTCTCCTTCCATTGCTAGGGAGTCTATCCAGACCCACCTCTTAGAGCAGGATGGTCCAAACAGTTAATGGTATGTTAATGTCATTTTTCTCAACCGTCCCCATAATGTGGCAAATGTCTATAAATACCATGCTTTTTCAGCTTGAAAGGCACATGTCACCAGATCCCATGCTGATGAACAACAACAAAAAACCCGACAAAGGACAGAGAACATCTTGAATGACTACATTCAATTATCTTGGAATTTTAATTTTTTAAACATTCAAAAAGATAGCCACTGTGTGATTTCAACTATACAACATTCAGGAAAAGGTAAAACTATGCAGACAGTAAAAACATCAATGACTGTCAAGGGTTAAGGAGAAGGGAGGGACGAACAGGCAGAGCACAGAGGATTTTTAGGGCAGTGACACTATTCTGTATAATACTACAATGGTGGATACATGTCACCATACATTTGTCAAAACCCATAAAATGTACAACACCAAGACTGAACCCTAATGTAAACTATGGACTTCGGGTGACAATGATGAGTCAACGTAGGTTCATCAGTTGTAACAAATGTACCACTGTGGTGCAGGATGTTGACAATGGGGGATGCTGTAAATGTATGGGAACATGAGGTATATAGGAACTCTCTGTACTTTCCACTCAGTTTTGCTGTGAACTTAAAACTACTCTAAAAATAAGGCTTACTAATTTAAAAGGGAAAAAGGTATCACTGAACCTGCTATTCTCATATATTAATATATAAATGCTATTTTCAAGACACAGTCACCTTGAAAATCAAGATAAAGATCAAAGTAACAGAATACGGGTATTATTTCCCCAACTGAAGTATGAAATACATAAAGCAAATCATTTTAATTGTATACTCAGGTAAGAAAATAATTGATGAATATGACTGAATATCTTGTTTTATAATTATCAATAGAGGTTTAGCACAATATGAAGCAAAACTAGATCATCCATATAATTAAGACAATTTTATTCTAATTTTAAATCAGAAATTATTATGCTTATTTTATCTAAGAATTATACTAAAAGATTAATCAGATAAAAAGGACAGATTATAATTACCTAATATTGCCACAGTAATTTATGTACAAATATCTGTTAAATATTCACCAAGTCAAAAAAGTAACCAGCACTGCAATTTAATATGGATGATGCAACTGAAACCAGTACCATGTTATATCACCATATTACTTGTTATTAAAATAAAATTTTAAGACAACACCAAAAACTAAATCAAGGCTATAACTGCTGTGCAGAAAAGATTTCATTAGGAAGACTGAGACTGCTGTCCTTAGAAAGTCCATCTGGAATGGCTGGCCCCTGGTTGGTGTCTGGGAACCTGGATTTGGGGAGTGTTCCCACCATTCCCTAACTGGTAAGAGTGGCACATTGTGCCTAAACTGTTCGTACAAACAATGCTGTTTATGCTGAACAGCTGCTGTCCTTTGGGAAATCTGGAATTCTGGTACATGCTAGGGAGAGGATGCCTAGGTGACTAGCATGCAATAAAAACCTCGAGTACTGAGTCTCTAATGAGACTTTGGTCCCATAGACAACAGTTCCTGTGTGTTGTCACATCTGATGCTGGAGGCGTTCAGCACATCCTGGTAACTCCAGAGGGAGAGGACTCCTAGAAGCTTGTGCCTGGTTTCCTCCAGACTCTGCTCCATACATCTTTTCTCTTTACTGATTTTGCTTTCACTGTAATAAATCACAGGCATGAGTACAACTGGATGCTGAGTCCTGTGAGTTATTCTAGTGAATAATCAAAGCTGGGCGTGGTTTGGGGAACCTCTGACACAACTACATTATGTGAAATTTTTATTATTTGGGTTAATGTGTTATACACGATTACAGTCAGAAGGTTATTTCACAGAATATCTTTCCTTCAATCTGTTTTTCTTGATATTTGCCTTGGAGATTCCTGTATTTCTATATCCATTTAAATAAAGGCATAAAAGGGATAAATGAAATGATGTCAGAAAATAACGTCAAACAAGCAACAACCCTATTTTAATCTGAATAGAAAACACAGAATCCTGATGACTGACAATATACTCTATAGTATGAAAGTTCCTATAAAGAAAATGAAAAGATCAAACAATTTTCTCCAACTAAGCAAGGTTTAACTTCTTTGTATAATAGTTATGAATCAAGCAGTTACCTGGAATAATTATAGAAAAATATACACCTATCATATATAGTATAATAAGATACTACTGATTGTAGAGTTCTTTTTATTTATCTCTAATTTTTTTCTTAATTTCTCAAAAAACTAAAAATATAGCTCACTATTCAATGCAGTTGTTGACAGAACAAGTCAAAAAGTAAAAAAATTGCATCCAAAACGTAGGACGAGTTATCCACTCCAACATGAAAACAGTGGATCTGATCATTAAGGATCAAGAGAACTTTTAACTAATTTGGGGGGGGGGGGAGTAAGTTATCTTATACATAGAAAGTTAAAAAGTGTGGTAAATCTTAACTGACCACATATTCTAATTTAGCCACAGATTATCAATTTCTAAAAAAATATATAACACCATAAAAGCATTTCAGCCAGCCCTGGTGGTCTAAGAGGTTAAGATTCGGTGTTCTCATTGCCTCTGCCTGGGCTCATTTCCAGTGAGGGAACCACACCACTTGTTCATCAGCCATCACACTGTGGTGGCTGCGTGTTGCTGTGATGCTGAAAGCTCTGCCACCGGTATTTCAAATACCAGTAAGGTCACCCACGGTGGACAGGTTTCAGTGGAGCTTCTAGACTAAGACAGACTAGGAAGAAGGACCTAGCCACCCACTTCTGAAATAATTGGCCATGAAAACCCTAGGAACAGGAGCAGAGCACTGTCTGGTATGGCACTGGAGAGTGAGAGGACGGCATAAAAAGACCGGGCCGGGTTCTGCCTGCTGTACACAGGGTCGCTGGAATCAATGGCACTAACAACAACAAAAAAAATGCACTTCAAATTAAAACTATGCCAGACAAAACTTAATTTATATTTGACAGTATAATATCAGAGACACTTTTAAATCTTGGCAGACTATCATCAGTTAACAGTGTCACTGTGGTACAGATATAAAGAAGTTTAGCATAAGAAACTAACAGAGGGGCCCACCTGGTGGCACAGCAGTTAAGTTCGCACATTCTGCTTTGGCAGGCTGGGGTTTGGCAGTTCAGATCCCGGGTGCAGACCTATGCACTGGTTGTCGAGCCATGCTGTGGCAGGCATTCCATGTATAATGTTGAGGAAGATGGGCATGGATGTTAGCTCAGGGCCAATCTTCCTCAGCAATAAGAGGAGGATTGGTGGCAGATGTTAGCTCAAGGGCTAATCATCATCTTCTTCAAAAAAAATCCACTAACACAATATGAGATAAACTTTAGGTTAAGTACCCAATTACCTTAAAGGAAACATACAGATCTGTCAAACATACACATGTTAGAAATATATTCTAACAACTGTCAATTCCAAGACAATTTTCCTTAGAGATGAAATTCAGAAGGCAGCAGTAAAAGCAGAGATATTAGAAGGCGGCAAATACAGAGAATCAAGAGAGGCAGCACTAACAAAAACAGTCAGGTACTGACTTTTTTACTGACATCATTAGAACTCCCAAACCATTGAGAACTAGTATATTCAGCATATCACCTTATATTTTCACCTTGGTATTATATTAGTCTTCTGCAATAAAATATTTAAAAGATGTAGTTTTTCCAAACTGCTGGTCTGTAAACTATTTCTGATCAAAATTTAAAACTCTGTCAAAACATGCCTATGACATGATTCCATATCAGAGGTAGGATCTAACAGTGGTTTCCAGTTGTTGCTGCCAGATTTTTGTTTCAGTATTCATCCAGGGAGCTGATGAAGGACTTGAGAAAAACTCAGGTATTTCCACAAGAAGCAGGTAAGAAAGACAATCCTTTTCCTCACACTTGACTCCTACTTTTGACAATTCTGGAAAAATGTTGGCAAGTGCACTCACCAGTCTATGCCAATTTTCCCTGACCCTGTGTGGGTAAGTGGTGCCATTACAAAAAAATAGGCAGGACTTTGGAGATGTGATGTGTTTTCCATATTTGGACATCAGAAGTATCAATCATGTAAACAGTAGACCTCATAAGCCTAAAATTGTTCTTTTGAAAAACTTAACAGCAAAAAGCTTTTAAAAGTTAAATCCAACCTTCTTTTCAGTAATTTTACTTGATACAATTGATACTCCCTCTTGAAGTTCTCATTTTCTTTATTTTTGCAGTATCACTTCCTCTAATTCCTCTCCTACTTTTCTCTAGCCATGCCCCAGTCTTCTTTACTAACTCCTCCTCCTCTCTCCACTCCTTAAATAGTGGTATTCCCAGGGTTTTGTCACTGGCCTTCTTCTTACTCTACATGTTCTCCCTCAGGGACAAGCTCCTTCAGCTCTATGACTTTGTCCAATAATTATAATCAGATAATTTCAAATTTGCATCTCCCACCTCAGAGCTCTATCTCTAGCTAGAAACTCCTATTAGCCACTTATCCAATTACTGAAAATATCCTACATGGCTATTCCATCAAACTCAACATGAACTGAAATAAAGTTGGTCTTCCCTGTTGACCTGCTGCTCTTCTCTGTGCAAGTGACAAAGTCCTACTCATTCTTCACGTTCAATGCAAATGCTAGCGCACAACCTGGAAACCTATGAATCACCTTGTATTTCTTTCTCTCCCCTAATTTTCCACATGCAATATTCACTAAATCATATGAACTGCACCTCTTTTCTGTCTTCACTTTTTACTTCCACTGCTACAGCCATAATGAAACATGGGCTCTTAACTGATGGCTTTCACAGGAAAAACAAACAAAAACCTAAGTATTATTATTATTTCTTAAATGAATAAAAAAATTTTGAGAAAGACATAATGCCTAGAAAAAGACAATATTTTAAATTGAATAAATTGAGCTTCTTGACTTTTACTCCACCATGGATGGGTGACAACTTCATAATGGACTGATACTCGTTCAAGGAAGAAAAGCCTCCTTTGTCTCCCAGTCTCGTACATGGCTTCCTTCTATCCATCCTCTACACAAGGGGTCAGCAAACGATGGCCCACAGGCCAAATCCAACCTGCCATCTGGTTTTGTAAATCGTGTTATTGGGGCACAGGCAGGCCTATGTGCTTACGAATTGTCTATGACTGCTTTCATACTACAGTGGCAGAGTTAAGTAGAAAGGAGAGAGACCACATAGCCTTAAATACTTCCTATCTGGTCTTTTCCAGAAAAAGCCTGCTGATCTCTGCTTCATCCCATAAGCAGAGTGTCCTAATATCAAATCTAATCTCATTACTCTTCTGTTCAAAATTCTCCAATGACTCCCTGCTGCAAATCTGGCTGGCTCTCTACCCAACAGCCATTCCTTATTCTTCATTCGTGCTGGAGAACCACAACTTTTATTTGTATATTTATTGTCCCAATACACAAAGAGAGAGGCCTCTGCCCAGCTGCAAAAAGAGATGATTAATCTAAGCTAACAACAGTAATTACATTTCCTATACTAGTTACTGGTTTAGAATGAGCAAGTGATGCAGTCCAGCCAATAAAATGCTGGGGAAGTCTACTGCAAGTTTCTGAATTTTCTTCCTATTTAAAAGAATCACGTAAAGCAGCTCTCCCAGTCTTTGGATATTGTCATATGAAAATACGGTGCTCGGGGCTGTTGCTAATTAGCAGATGAGGAAAGAAAATACAAACAAAACAATGCCAACTTCAAAGCTGAGAGGGACAACAACTGGGATCCTGATGACACCACTGAACCACCAAAGCAACCCTGGTTCCTATTATGTTAGCCACTGTTAGTTAGGTCACCTATTATTAGTAGCTAAAAGCATTCTAACTGATAAATTTCCCAAGATCTACAGGATAAGATCCACTCCACTCCTTTCTACAGTACTAAAAAGGCTTTCATAAGCTTGCACCTCATTCCGAACCATTCCTATAGCACACTTTTTGTACCAGCAAAATTGAACTGCTCATTAATCCTGCAAAGTTCACTCACCTCTCTTAGCCTTTTCATTGCTGTTCCTTCTGCCAAACATGTAATCTGGATAGGTTCCTCCTGCTAAACATCGCCCTGCTGCCTCTTCCTGGCAATTAAATCCTACTCACTTTTTAGAAACTCTAATTCCTCAGCATGGAATTAAAGTGTCTGGCACATATTAATCACCAACAAAAAATAATAAATAATGACAACTATAAGATCCTAGTGGGCTCTGGCACATAGTAAGCATTGAATAAAGTAAGTAATAAAAGTGACAATAACTATGATAAGCTTCTAGGGGAGAATTTAGACAGAAATTAAGCAGGGACAATTCTATTCTAGGATGAGCGCCTTAAAGACCAAACTGTATTGCATCTATTCCATCTTTGTGTCCCGTAACTTGCAAAACCAAGTTCTACAGAAGGTCTTGGATAAAGGCCTACAAAGTTCAAGGTGTCCTCATACAGTTCAGTGTGCCAGGCACTAGGTGCCACATCCAGGGAGCACACAGCATTTCTGTTATTGTGAAACATTTTTGTACTTTTATTATAATTTGTTGAGTCCAGAGTTGGGCTATTTGAATATTTATTACAATAATCTTTTGACCACAGAAATAGAACATCTTATTCTAACAAAATAATAGTGTCATGACAATTATCCAACAAACGGAAGAAAACATCTTGTTCTAATAAAGTCAACACATTTCATTCTGTTTTGACTTATGAAGAATGAAGTTGATAACAGAGAGACCTTGTTGGTATAACACTATGTAAAATAACCTCTCCTCCTCAACAAGGCATTGCTTTTCTGTCCTATGAGTAGGTATCTTTAAAAGAAATTCTCTTATTGGTATTGCTGCACACTGGCTAAGTTTTGTGGTTCTTATTGTTTGCCATTTATTGATAGTACCAAGAAGGTATGGTTGAGTTCCCGGCTTTAAAGATAGCTATTTTTTTAGTGAGATAAATCACCATATAATTAATAATCATTTATTAAATGTAATCTATTTGTCATAAAAATTTAAGATCAATTTTTATAACCAGTTCAATTTGCTATTATGTGATAATAGAGAAAACACACATCATACTAAGAAATTTTTTTATTTAGACAAAGTTATCATATAAGATTTTAGGAGCCATAATTAAATAAATGAATTTCTTTTCAGACAACACTGTCTCAGATTTTAAATTACCTACAATTAACTTCTTAAATAATTCTGAATACTAGACTATTAAGAAAGAAATCAAGAAAAAATACACATGCAATTTACACACTGGATTTTTCCATTGCTCTTTCAGTATCAAAACTTCTTTACTCTTCCTTTCTTTACCTATGGTAGAACCACCAAGAGTAATTCACTATCAGAAATCTTACCTGGATTGCTATTTTGTGAACAAGTTTTAGGTCTCTTTTCTTCTTTATGTTCAGAAATTAGTTGGCGATTGCTATGTGTAAAAAAATGTGATAAATAATATTACTATTTTAATACTGATAAGAAAAACATTCACCAAATATATTAAAATCTTAGAGTATCTCAGAAAATATCAGAGCTAATATCAAAATTTTAATTATCCCATATAGTTCAAATTTGTAAGTTCTATAAACTTTTTATTTAGCACATAATTAAAGAGGAAAAAAAAAGTAAAGTGAAGCAGTCATGAATTGAGGGAAGTATAGCTTAGTAAAGTAACTAGAGTTAGCCTGACATAAGGGAAAGTGTCTTGAATGCAGAAGAAATTCTAGCCCCATAACCAACAGCTATTTGTTCCCGGACAAATTTTCTTTCTTTTCCTGTTCCTGTTGCTTTTCTTTGGCTCAAAGTCTTCTCTACAAAGCAGGGCTCTTATTGCCTTATTTCACAAGGTCATTAGGAGCATTTGAGGAGATACTATACTTCCCTCCAAAAAATGCTCACAGCAATAGTGAACCAATGGGTTCTTGAAATTTACTGTTGGAACTATGTTGGAATTCCAAATAAAACCCAATGTGTGTTTTTTCATATGTTCTAACATTCAAATGCTGCAGTTTTCAGAAGATGTTATTAATTGGTTATTAGCTATTCTTTCTCTGTGGTTTGTAATTCAGGGCATCTCAGCTATTATATAACTTGTAACTAAATTTACTTATAAATATATGACCTCGTGAAATTACATAACATAATTGTCCTATGCTTCTACAGTTCATCACACCAAGGGCAGAAAACTCATGGAAGTCAAGACCTGGCTTGGACTACAACTACTCCTTCTCTCTCTACTCAAACTCTGAAGCGGCAGATCTTTGTTAGAATGATGCTTAATCTCCATGTTCATCTCCAACTGACTTGGAAGACATAACCCGACTTTTATCTTTTTTTTCTTCTTCTTCTTTCCCGCCACCCAGTACATATTCTGTAGGTCCTACTGGTTGTGCTATGTGGGACGCTGCCTCAGCATGGCCTGATGAGCAGTGCCATGTCCGCGTATAGGATCTGAACCGGCAAAACCCTGGGCCGCCAAAGCAGAGCATGCTAAGTTAACCACTCGGCCATGGGGCAAGCCCCTATAACTGTACTTTTACACATGGATACTGATGAGTCATGGATGGGGCTTAGCTCTCCCAATGCCAACTAACCTACTTTAGATTCTGAGATTTCTGTTGACTGGCTTCCTTGTGAGGCAGAATCTGAAAATATTTTCAAACTTGAGGTAGATATAAGTCACTTGGGAGAGTTTCATTATTATGGAAAACAGATCACTTGATGGGCCAATCTTAATTATGGGATCTCAGGCAAGTTGGTACCCGCTACTCTGGGAAGGATGATAGGGGACCTTCCACAACCTAAGAAAAGGTGCTCCTCAGGAGATAAAGCAGCCTTGGCGTTCAGATCTGGTAACAAAGGAGAAAGGAAAGTCTGATCTCTTCCTGCAGCATCATTTGAACTTCTCTGACAGCTTAGAATGGGCCCAACTAACAACTGCTAGCAGAAAAGTCAAACAAGAGCCTCCAAGGGTAACTCATCCTGAAGTTCTGGCCTAAGATGTGGGCTGGACATAGGGTTTTTGAGTGTGGTGGGAAGGATAAGTGTAGCTAAAGCAAGGAGGCCCAGCTGCCAGGACGGGGTGTGGGGGTGTGGAACAGTGCCTGAGCATACAAGAATATGCCCTTTAACTTAAAAGAAAGTTGCAACTTTGAAGTCTAAATCTGGATCACCATGAATACAGGGGGATCTCCATCAGCAAAGGCACCCTAGGAGCAAAGGTCAATCACGACCAGACTACAGGACCAGTTTCAATAGCAACCCGGCAGCAATAGAATCAATGGAAACAGGAGAATGATCAGAATGTCCTCTTTTCCCTCCATCTGACTTATGACAGAGGATTGTCCTTCTCAGACTTAAGGAACCCTTTAGGTTCCTGGAAAATTCAAGGAAGAGTACAGGAGATAGCCCCTGGGAAAAAGTACAGGATTTTCTACAAAACTGAATATTTTAAGACCCAAATAACAAGTTAGAAAAATCACAGACATGACACAATTGTACTTCATGCATAGGGGTTATACTTGGAATGAAATGAATTAACATTAGGATCCCTAAGGATTGAGGTCTTCAAAGTCCTGAGAGATAAAGAATCCTGCGCCCATTGCTACTTCTAACTAGTCTAGCCTTTTGCTTGGTTTCTGGCTGATAACGTGGACTAATTCACTGCCATTCCAACAATGCCTGAACCAAACTATGAAATCATACCTGCTACATAAGAAGTAACAGTTAAATTATTTTAACCCCGGTTTAGTGATAACTAGCATTTGAATGTAAACACTTACATAGCAAAACCACTAACAAGAGCATATTCTTCTGCAGTCCATCCATAGATATCTTGAGAAAAGACATCAATACCTTGCTGAAGAAGAAGCCTGACTATATTTGTTGATTCATAATTTACAGCAAGCATGAGGGCTGTTCTAAAATAACAGAGAGATAACTTCACCCTTAGGAATTTTAATTAAGTTATTTAAGCAGCTAATTTGATAGACTACCAAGTTAATATCTTGCCTGTCTGTGCAGAATTGACCATTTACATGCTCAAGTGTTCATCTTTGTAAATTACCTACAAGGCTAAAACGAAGAGACAAAAAGGAAGCCTCTTATTCCACTTGGATATTACGTAATAGAAGCTGCTAATTTAAAGTCCTTTGATGGACAAGAAACTATGCAGAGGTCACTTATCTGAAACAGGTGATGATTTAAATGAATAATTCCCCATTTCTTCCTTAGTGTGACATACATATTATACCTCAAAGTCAGCTAGAGGTCAGGTAAGTAAAAGCTATTTGCAGGCTTAAAGCAATAATACTAATGGTAATAATAATAGTCATGGTTGCAGTTAACGATGCTGGTAAGCATGTGCTAGGCACTAACTTAAATGCTGTATATATCATCTTACACACAATCACTCTTGAAAGATAGACTATTATCCTCCTTTTCATATCAGGAAGCATTTGGTGATGATGAATAGAGTTCCCAAGGTCCCTACTTACATCTAGCAAGTAGGAAAGCTAGGAATTAAACCCAGTCTTAGGTGAATCTCAAGCCCATCTCTTTTCTCTTTATCACCCACCTGTGACTTGTCTTCATTAGAGGAAAAGTTTACTCAGTTAAAGCTATCTTTCTTCCTCCTACCCATACCAACTAAAAATAAAAATATCAAAATATACTAGAAATGAAAAAGGATAAAAACTGATGAGCCCATAGTATCTGGTAATGGCAATTAATAGTCACTTAGGAATAACCTAACAACATCAACAGTCTTCAAAGAAAGAAATTTAAAGCAAAGAGTCATCCAAAAGACAAAATCAATTTCTACTTATGTTTAACATGCATCTTTTAAGGAAAAATATATATGAAGTAGAGGTTAAAAAATACTATAAAAGGGTTAAGAACTTCAATATTGCGTCATAAAGTAAACTAAAAGTTAGTCTATATTTTATAAAACAAATATGAAACCCCTTTAGGTAATAAAAAATCATACGACCAAAAAATCAGATTGCAAACGACATCAGCCAGTATTATGAAGGAACATGAATCCTGCTAAATACTGTTCATGTTACCCAGTCAGAATAATTGCTTTTCTACACAACTGATGATGTGTTGATATTTTTCACTACATAAGTTAATCCTCTTATGAATTCAACCTTTCTGACTTGAGTGATTGTTACCACTTTAGAACAATACTAAGGTTTAAAAAAAAAAAAGAACTACTGTACCTTTTCATCTTATCGACTGCATGTATATTTGCTTCTTGCTTTACTAAAAATTCCACCATTTGCTGTTTATTTTCACTTACTGCAAGTAAAAGTGGTGTGAGGTCATCCTGTAAAACAGCAGAAACAATTTATAATTTACAAAATTACGTATTTCTAAAGTGCATTTGAAAACTGATAAAAGGTCCTCTGGACTTAAACGTCTATCGAAGAAAGCAAATACAAAGCAGCCCCTGCCCCTCCCCCGCTGTGCTCCCCTGCGGCTCCTTCTCTTTAAGATGCCCTCCTCCGCCTCTTCCCCAGACTGACTGCAGAGTCATTCTCCCAAACCCACTGCCAACATTTGCTGGTTCCAAGAGTCTTCGCTTCCATCACAGTGTTTATCACGCACGCTGTAGTTATTTCATTGCTCACCATCTAAACCAAGAGGTTCCTGAGCGCAGGGGCTATTCTTTCTCTATCTACAAACTCTAAAACAGCAGTAAATGCTTTAAGGATTTTTTGTCAATTAATAACCTAAATGATGGTCTCTGGAGTAGTGTTTCCTAAATTATATTCACAGAATATGTACTTCCCAGAAGTACTGTGCCCGAACAGAAAGATTCTACGATCATCTATGTTGGAGAAATATTACAAAGCTGCATTATATGTCTAGTACTAAAGAAATCTCTCTAAATTTGCTTAATCCCCATGTGACAATACTTTTTTGAGGCAAACACTAACATCTGAGAAACTAGTCTCAGGGATACAGCTCTGAGAGCTTTCCAGTAAAGGTGAAGGATTTCTCCAGGTGGTACAGACTTGCTTGATTCTCTCCTATCAATGGTATCAGGATCCCAGATGCCAACAGCAGGCACTCCTGCTCCACATGCGTCCCTAAGGAAATGAGCGCTGAACTAAAAGAGACGGGCTTATGACCTTTGACTGCTTATACTAAACAGTCCATGGGTTTTCTCTTATTATAAGATGAGAGGTATTTATCTTAACTGTTAGAAAGTTTAATATGAAATTTTATTCTCAATTATAATGATAATCCTGGCCCTAATGTATATCTGCTTTTGCAAATCTGTTTTTATTCTGGTTTCCATTTTAATCATTACCCAAAATTATTTTATATTTTCGGCAAAATATAAATCAGAAATAAAAATGGCTTATCAATAAAAATTCTAATAACTGATCTATACGGATTATTTTTAGCATAATGAAAGCTACTAAGTCACTTGCATTTTTCAGGAACAATGCTGAGAAGACATAATATTGTCTGCAATACACATAACCTATGCAGCTCTAACCATGATTAACCTCACAAGGCTTACAGACATTCCAATGGGAATACAATTATTTATAGTCCATATAAAGATAAAGCTTTGTAAAAAACCATCATAAATTCTAATTTGGAAAATGAATCCCATTCTTAAGAGATTAACATAAAATAAGGAAAAAAAACCCTATAATTTTAACTGCCTCAAAAATCTTGAAATCTTTATTAAAAAAACACAGGACATGGAAACTCAAATGCTTACAGAGGCAGAGTAGGTGACCCAGGTCCATAAAGAGCCTAAGCAGGGACGGCAGCAAACTGGAGACCAAGTGCGTCAGATGAGAGGGGGAGCCACTGCACGGCACCCCAAACAGTAGTGTGGGCTCACAGGGCACCAGATGCGGTTCTTGAAGAGAAGCTTGAAATCCAGATTTCTGCATGAGTCTCCTCAATTGTAAATGTTGACTCAATTTATGCAGGCAAACTAAACATATCCAAGGCCACATTTACTCTACAGCCCACTTGTGTTTTTATATTTGCTGTGTTTCCAAATGGTTGTGTATAAAGTAAATATTTCTAGGTAAACATCTTGGATTCTTTAATTTGTTTTACAAAAAAATTGGGCCCCAACATGTAATAAAAATTGCTATTAAGACTCATAACATCCCCTTTGAGAATTTTTCCAAGACTTATTACAACTACGATCTATTTGTATTTAATTCTCTCAGATTGTTAATCAAATGGATAATTAGTTATAGGACTGCTGAAACTAAATTATGAAAAAAATTCCCATCTGGACTGTTATCACTTCATGGTTTGTGATGTTTAAAACTGCCACCCTGATTACGGCAGGTCTCCATGAATGTGAGAGACATACCAAGACAGTCTGTCACGCAGCTTCAGCTGAAAAGAAGGCGCATGATTTACTATTTCTGCGATCAGGAAAACCCTGCTCGTAATAAACATCTGTTGACCTCATGATCTGACTGATAACAAAAGACGCAAAATACTTAAAGGGTAGAACTCTACTTATTAAGATGACTCATAAACAAATTTCCAAAGACTCTCCAAGTGCCGGTGAGTGACTGACGGGATGGAAGGAAAAAGGGCTTATTCTCTAAGCCAAGAGATGTCACCAATAATACTCCTTTTAACTTCTCAATCACAGAGGTAGAAACAAATGAAAGTCAGGCTAATATTGTTGGAAAGGAGAGAACTGAAGGAAACAGCACCCATCAAACTCCAACTCTTCTAGAGATTTCCTAAATTTTTGAGATCTGTGAATTTACACATTATACTTAGCCATTCAGTAGTTCTTAACCAAGAGCTGTATCAGACTCTCACGAGAATACTTCTAAATATAAGTGTTCAGGCCTTGTTAGATTTACTCAATCAGAAAACCAGGGGAGAGCCTCGCCTGTAAATGTTCTTGAACTTCCCCAGGTGGGTGTGATTCACCAGCACAATTCTAGCTGAGAACTTGTGAACAAGACAATCACCAGTCTCATCTCTCACCTAGGTGCCCAATTCCCTCTATCATTTGAGAATTTGGCCAAAACAAGAAAAGCGTTAAGAGAGAAGAATCACTTACCCAAACTGTGTTTAACCTTCCTGAGTAGGGCTGGAACAGGGACTCGTAAACTCAAAATGCAACTTGATTTCACCATTTATAAACTCCTTACTTCCCAGCAAGACATTCTAGATTTGAGAGCAGAGTTTAGACTCTTATCTCAGTGGCTGTTTCTGCCAGAATCGGGTAAGAGGTCAGTTAATTATCTGCTCCTCCCTCATGTTTCCCACTTCCTCACCCGCATCCATTGCCAACCTGGTTTCCTCGGAGTCCTCCTAAAACTGATCTCAAGGCAAGGTTCCAGCGCCCCTCTCTCTTTCCCAAACTAAGAATTATTATCCCCGAAAATTGAAGAGCACTTTGCCTAAACACATGAACTGAAGAAAACTAACAAAAACAAAAAACCTCTTATTGTTGTTTCCCCCATTTGCCAGATCTCCGAATTGGCCTGCAGGTTTCTGATGGCTCTCCCTTTCCCCTCTTCCCTTCTCAGGCCTTGGTCAGAGATGAATGACTTCTATAGAAATCACTTTTTTTTGATAGAAGAACTTGTCAACAGCAGCAAGATTTCTATTATATTGAAAAATGTATTTGTTTCGTTTGAGTTTAAAAGCCTATTTCTGTTTTTTTTGATTGCCTCAAGTTAGAATTTTTTTTTTAAAGAGCGGCACCTGAGCTAACATCCGTTGCCAATCTTCTTTTTTTTTTCTCCTTCTTCTCCCCAAAGCCCCCCAGGACACAGTTGTATATTCTAGTTGTAGGTCCTTCTGGTTGTGCTGTGTGGGATGCCGCCTCAGCATGGCTTGATGAGCAGTGCCATGCTGGCACCCAGGATTAGAACCCGTGAAACCCTGGGCCGCTGAAGTGGCGCATGTGGACTTAACCACTAGACCATGGGGCCGGCACCCACAAAAGCCTATTTTTAAGGCAAATTTTACTTTCCTGTGTTGTTTTACACTAATTAGGGAAACAATTGTGTGGGGAAATATATTCTGAAAAAAAATTTTGCCTTTAACAAATTCAGTGTTTTCACAAATATTTGCCATAATTGCATAAAGGAAAGCCGTACCCTTTAATGATTCTTTAGAAGTATCATTTTTTAAAGTGAAATCTTAGACAACTAAGTTATTTCAAAGTATTTTCATTCACTGAATGCTTGTGCTTCCAAATATGTAAAACTGACCCTACCTATGTCAACCGAGAGTGTTCCTGTTGGGGCTGCAGTGGTGGGAGGTAATGTACGCCCAGAAGAAAAAGCAGGCAGACCAGCTTTGCCATCACCTGCTCCCCATGTACTGCTACAACCCCACTAAGGAGCTACATGAGGCTGAACAGGAGCTACTCTCTGACCTGGGAGGCACCAAGGTGGCACATGGCTGGCAGGGCGGCTACCAGCACAAGCAGATGCTCTTACTGGATGTCAAGACAAGACCTGACCCTGACCTTTAGAAACTTGGGGTCCTGGAGTGCCCAGGGCCTGTGTCCTGCTGCTGCCACCTCCCACTTGCACTCACCCAGCTCCCACTGCTGGCTGCTGGGTCTCCATTCCTCCTTTCACTCATCCCCAGCAGGAGCCATTTCCTAAGCCCCTGCATAGCAGCCAGCCTCCAGCATCACGTCACTCCCCTGACCTTCCTTCACTCCCTTGTGGGCTCTCAGCCTACCACCACTCCCAGGCACTAACGGGAAGTTGTTCCTTCTGCAGTGGAAGGGTGGCTGGGAGACAAAGCTTTGCCCTTTCCGTGGGCACCACCTTTCTCTGGCCCTCCAGCTTTGGAGTTGTTTCCACTGTGACAGGGCCTAATGTATAGTACTCAGGATATATATTGTAAATAAAATGTTTTGTGGCTAAAATAGAAAAAAAATGTGCATTTCAAATGTTTTATAAATAAAGTTGGTTGATCTCTACCTTGTTTCTTGCTTCGATATTTGCGTTGTGTGAAAGCAGCTTTGCTGCTATTGACAGATTCTCACCACGAGCAGCATAGTGGAGGGCAGTATTGCCACCGACGTCTGTAACATCTGGATCGGCACCATGTTCTAGCAGAATAGTTGCACATTCCTCTTGCTGGCATTGTATAGCCTGTTGGTATTATGCCAAGAAATAAACTGTAAATTCTAGGAATTCCGAATAAACATTCCACAGGTTTAACCAATTAGTTCTATTTAAATGAGATAAATTCATTTTTATTCTAAGTCATTAAATCAACTCTGTCGCATCTTGACATAGTTGGCTACTACATACCTTCATCAGAGCTGTTCTGTTTTCGCTGTCACAGAGGTTAAGCTGGCATTTTCTCTCTACTAGGAGAGTTACCACTTCTGGATGGCCATTGGCACAGGCCAAATGCAGAGCAGTCCTATGAAAGTGAGAGGACTTTTCAGGAAATTACAGTGCACTATCTCAAAACATACAAGTAGTCACGTAATTGTAAACATTAAATAGCCTGTTATTCAAAGCCTTTAAAACAAATATTTAGTTTTCTTCCGGAGAAAATACAATACAGTTGGCCCTGTGTGCATGAGTTCCACATCTGTGGATTCAATCAACTGCAGATCGAAAGGCCTATGATGGTTGTGTCTGTACAGAACACGCACAGACTTTTTTCTTGGCATTATTCCCTAAAGAATACAGTATAACAACTATTTGCATAGCACTTACATTATATAAGGTATTATAAGTAATCTAGAGATGGTTTAAATTATATGGGAGGATGTGCATAGGTTATATGCAAATAACTACAGCATTTTATATTAGGGACTTGACCACGTGTGGATTTTGGTATCTGCAGGGGTCCTGGAACCAATCCCTCTGTGGATACCAAGAGATGACTATATTTATTAGCTCTTATTACTCACCACATTAATGGCAGAGCAGCCTATCTGAATAGAAAGAGCATGACCTTTGGATTCAGCTCACCTTGGGTTTGAATCCTACTTTAACTGTGTCATTTATTAGCTATTGCTTGGCCTTCCTATGCCTCAATTTCCTCATCAATAAAATGGGGAGAAAAATTGCACTTATCTCACAGGACACTGTTGTGATGCTTAAATGAGAATCTATGCAAAGTGTTTAGAACAGTTCCTAGCACAATAACAGCTCAACAACTGTTAGATACTATTATTGTAATTATTACTATTACTACTACTCTACAAAGACAACATTTCAATTAAGTAAAATGATACAATCATATGTACTTTGCAGATATGTTTTAAGGATTAGAGAGAACACTGTATCTCAATGATTCTAAGATGCTCATTTTCTCACATTTTAACATCTCTGACACTGGAATGCAACTTATTATTCATAATGTCATACAACTACAATGGACAGCCTTTTAAAAAATTTCTCATGGGTACATAAAATAGTGGGGTATCATACGATCCACAGCATCTTATGTTAGTGAAATACGGTCTATACAACATGTCTACTGCAGTTCTAGTCATATGGTTGGCATTTAAATAAATTTTAGTTGTTAAAAGTATTATGGGGAAAGAAGACTAAAATAAAACAAAAAAAGAATTTTTAAAAAAGTAATTCTTAATTCTCAAGAAACTTTAAGTCAAAGGAAATTCAGGATTCAAGTGACTACGGATGGCTCATTTTATTCAATATTTAGATTTATGGATTGTATGAAACTCAGATATTTCCAATGATTAATATTAATATTCAATACTATTATAAACTTTCAAAAAGGCAAGTAAAGGTTATCTTTTAGAATTTCCTTCCTTCGGAGATGCTTTTGTTTGAAAGAAGAGAGGGAAAGCATCAACTGAGATTAGGTCCTAATACTTCCATTTTAAATTTCTCTATTTGCTCAGAATGGGCAGCATTAAGTTTTTAAGGATGAAAGGGTCCTGAGAGCGGAGAATAGGCCCACTATATAACAGGTATTCAGGGTATGTATGATTGTATGATGAATAAATGGATTGAAGAATGGACAAACACAGTTGGAGAACTTAATTTTTTGTGTGTGTGTGAGGAAGATTGGCCTTGAGCTAACGTATGTTGCCAATCTTCCTCTTTTTGCTTGAGGAAGATTGTCACTGAGCTAACATCTGTGCCAGCCTTTCCTCTATTTTATGTGGGATGCTGCCACAGCATGGCTTGACAAGAGATGCTAGGTCTGTGCCCAGGATCAAACCTGTGAACCCTGGGCCGCCGAAGCAGAGTGCGTGAACTTAACACACTGTTTCTTATATACCTCAATTTCCTCAAGATAGCTCAGTATAAACAGAATTGATGGATAAAGGGAATACACATTTTTAAAATGTGGTACTTATTATCACATTGCCTATTAAAAAGTCAAAAGCAATTTAAAGTTTCACTTAAACTCATCCTGACAAATTTGTGGATGGAAAACAATATTTCATTCTTCTTTTAACTTAAATTCCTTTTCTTTCCAGGGACACTAAATATTTTTTCCTCATGCCCACCGGTCACTTGTAGATATGCAGAAAAGGACTTTACCTAATTTCAAATTAAAGGTTTTTTCCCTTCATTTCAAAGAATTCTCTGTTAATGAAGATATATTTTTTATCTGATATAAATATGCTGTAAATATTTTGCAATGACATTGTCTTTTAATAGTATTATTTTGATATACAGAGGGTTTTAATTCTTTATGCTGCTAAGTCAAACTTAAGAACTCTTGCTTTTGAAGTCAATCTCAGAAGGTCTTTGTCAACACAAAAATGTATAAATAGGCATTTGTGTTTTCTTCTAGTATTTTTCTCACTTTGTATATTTAAAATTTTTAATCTGTGTTCTATCTGGAACTTATTTTTGTGAGATAAAAATCTAGCTAATCTTCTCCAAAGAGTTAGCAGGTATTTCTCCACCATTTGTGAATAACTCATCCTTTCGTACGAATACAAAACATCACCAGTATCAAATTCTAAAGTCTTACAAATACGTATTTGGGTTTTTGGGCATGTTCTATTTATTTATCTTTCTTTTCTGCTGTTATTAAATAATTTGTGGCATATTTGGATATCTAGAAGGGTAAATCTCATCTACTATACCAAAATTTTCTTACTTTCACCACAATAAAAGATAGCATGTGTAACTCAAAACTTATAAAACCATGATATTTTTATTTCGTCTATGTAAAATTGATAAATATCAGAGGAGCAGAGATTTTGAGGAAACGAGTCCTCCTACTCAGGAACACAGGCATCTTTCCACTTCAAAGTTTCCTTCTAAGGTCCTTCAGTAAAGAACATATATACAGAGGTGTACACTGAAATAAAATGAACATTGGACTTTACCAGAAGAATTTTTAGCCTAGAAGTTGCTCTATTACAGGAATTACTGGATCCCACATGTTACATAACATTCTGGTTTAACATTTTGGTATAAAAATGTGTACGTTAAAAATAAATTGCTGTATATACTTAATTGTCTATTATTATTGACTTTTAGTTAAATCACTTTGCAATTGTCAGTGAAGTGCTCTATAAGGGGAATTGTGAGTGGGTCCGAAACCGGCTCAAGTGTGTGTTCCCGCTGCTCATAAAGTCGGCCTGGGCGCTAGACCCCGGGAAGGTTTCCAGGCCCAGGTGCTGCAGGGCCTCGGGAGGCAAGAAGCCGAGCGACCCCGGCGACAGGCGGGCTGGGCTCCCCCAGGCTGCGCCCGGGAAGGTGCGCGCTTCTCCCAGGTCCGCGCGCCTCCTCCAGGCCGGCCCCGGCCACCGCCTCCCAGTCCCTATTACCTGTTCAGCTTGTCTCTGTCATTCAAGCCACTTTTGCCAAGCAACAGAATCTGCTGCACTTTCGCTACGTTGCCCACGCTGGCAGCTTTGTGGATCTTTCCGAGATCTTCGTCTCGGATGTGGTACCCGGGCCGTGAGTTGACTCCATCGCTACTCTCACGACCGAAGCCCGCGCTGTCCCTCCTCCGGCCGGAGGAGGCCCGGGGGGACTCGCCCTTTTTACTCCGAAAGCCAAAAATCTTCTTCATCGCGGACCCTACGGGCTTCAGAGCCATCTCGCCGCCCCCTCCGCGTTTCGCTGCATCCTGAGCCCAACACCAGTACTGTAGATAAGCTGGCCGGGTCCCGCCACAACATCCCAGCCACCAAACTCTGCGGTTTAGAATCTCTCAGCGTAGACCAACTGTAGCCCAGCAACTGCCGCTAAACACAAGCGCGCATGTGCACCTCCGAAGATGCCGTCACTGCGCGTGCGCACAGAGACCCAGGGCTGGGGGGCAAGGGTGCCCAGAGCGCATGTGCATGGCCCAGGCGGCTCAAATCTCGGCGATCGCTTGTTGGCCGCGCCGTTCGCTTGCAGTCTTCGGTGTGCGTCGGCTCAGTGTTTCCGGACGTCTGCAAAAGTTAGATGTTCCCAGTGGAAAAGCAATCTTTGCCTACAACTGGGGCTAGAGTAGCTTGGAAAGTCAGGATGCGGAAGGACTCGTCCGGCAGAAAACTCCCATAAAAATACTCTCTCTGAATCTCCTTACCCCTCAGTTTGTTCCCCTTCCACATCTCTCTGGGCCCCAGCCAGTTCCATGGAGTTTGGCACATGCAACAACAGAAAGCTGCTTTCACGGTTTCAGAGATTGTGGCCATGTGTGTCAAGTGCAGACTGAAGGGGAGAAACCAGTGCACATTCTCCGGATGAAAGGAAACGCGTTTCCATATGCCTCTCAACCCTCCCCTTTGGCCCACCCTTACCTTTACGTCTTCTTTACTTTTGTTTTGGGGTTTTTTTGGCCTTCATTTCCCCCCAATTAAATCTTTAATCAATCCGAGATTTATTCTGGAGCATGGTGTGATATTGAAGAGCTTTCTAACAAAATGACTAATGTCCCAATCCATCTTTTCTCGCCTAGTTTAAAATACCGCTTTACCTTACATTAAATCCTCAGGTATGTTTTTTCTCTTCTGGGTTTTCCATTCTGTTCCATTGAATGGTCTGCTTTTTCTTGCATCCCTAATCTATCATTTTAACTTCTTTTTATGTCTCTCATTAGCTTTTGGCAGTTCTTTTCATTTACGTAAAGCCTACACACATAGTTTGTAGTGATTATTGCCTTGATATCTGTGTATTCATTTGAGAACCAGAGTGAAGGACTTTTTAAAACTATAATGTTGTAACAGGAGAAAAAGTTGACAGTTTCTGGCAGATACTGGTGTAAAGCAGATGGTAAGCATTGTACCAGAAAGATGTAATACTGAAGAATGATGTGATGCAGGTGAATAAGTTAAGTAAAATGCACATAGATGGGCTATTTTTATTGAAGGGTAAGATAGATGATTGCTAAAATTTAAAAAAAACTATAATATGGCTATTTTTCTTCAAATCCTATTAGCTAAATTTTTCAGTAAGTAGCTACTAACAGGGACATCTAACTTTTTTGTTTTCTCTGAATATTTTCTCTGTTCCTTTCCTTTATCTATTCAAATCTACTTCCCACTCTTATCAGACTGACCTTGTGTAATCTTATCACCTTCATTGTCATGAAGCCTCTGCACTCTACACTTGTCCCATATTCCTTAAGATCTTTCAGACTTAAAATCTAAATAATCATTTCCTCTTGTTTCCATCTTCCTCTGTATGCAACTAGTGTGTTTCCATTCCACCATTTCTTAGGAAGACAAAATATGTTGACTCCACACTCCATACAAACTGGTATACATAGGTGAGTGTATATGGAAACTCCTTTTAATGTAATACTTGATCCAGTAATTCCAGCTGGACTATACCTGGTATTGTGGGTGAAGCAGACAGGAGCAGCAGGCACAAAACACAGCTAATACAAAATCAGCTAACCCCAAACTCACCAGGTTCCTATCACATTTGTTAATGATTTCAAGAATTAACCAAAATAAAAAGTAACAGAAATCACTGTTGCATAAGTTGCAACAGCAAAATTTCAAAGTTTGGCAGCCATATTTTACTGCAAGACAAATCCATAGACATTAAGTACTTATTCTTCAGAGGCCACTAACGCCATTTTGTTCTTTGTAGATTGAATGGTTTGATAAATTATTTGGAAATAACACCTCAGAAGCCAAGTGTCTGGACTTTCAGCAGCAATTGTTGCTGGAATGCATCTGCAGAGCTCTGGCGAACACTGCGGGCGCTGTGAGGAGGTGGTTGATTCCAGAATGGGCGTCTTCATCAGGGGAAGAGCAATGAACAACAACAACAACAACACCATTCTTCAGGCCTCTCCAGCTGGGCTGGGCCAAATGGTTTGGGTGTGAATGTTTCAACTATGATCACCAAGCATTTACCCCCTACAGTCGCCCAGCTAGAAAATTATCTTTCATCTCCTGTTTGTCTCCTCAGTATTCCCCAGGGTGACTTATAAGAACGATAAAGGATGTAGTGACATCTGGAGAGAAGACTCTGACATTCCCTGATGCAGCCAGGAATGAGGGTCAAAGCCATTACCAGGCTGTGGGGAGGCAGGAACCGCACCAGGACTCCAGGTAGGTTGTAGCGCTTTGGTTGACTCTAGTGTTTTTGTGTGGACCAGAGGTACTCAAGGAGGACACGTTAGGCCAGCTCTGAGCTTCTGTGCTCCTTGGTCAAGTGCTGTCTGGATCCCCAAAGAGTTTCCTACAAGCAATTGAAACCTAAGATTTCCCATTCCCAGACTTCCGTGGAACCTAATTTCAGATCCAAAGCACAAGCCTTCTAGAAAGTTGTTGCTTAGAACGTCCATGCCTATCTAAGGCCCCAGTAATGCCCTGGTCAGCTCTTCTGCTCCCTCATGTAATGGTTATGCTAATGAAGTTAATAATGTATGAGAGTAATATTTGTTGTATGATGAAAAACAACTAAGATATGGATGCCTCAACAAATCCCTTAGCTAAGGTTCTCCAGTCCCAGTTCAAGGCTGTCGTAAATGTTCTCTCCTTTTAAGAGTTACCACGAAACTCGTCAAACACTTTTCCACAGCTGGTTCATTTCTGTTTGGGATGTGTCTTCCCATGCATTCCACTGTGTCTGCTGAGGAAAGTTAAGACTCCGTTGTAATCAAACCATGAGGAGACTATGAGGGCCCAAGTGTGTTGAGGCTGATCTGCCAGTGTCTACCGGAGACCCCTGACCTGGGAAAACCGCAGCAAGGGGGCCACAAAGTTAAAATAGAAAATCTACTGAAAGCCTTATTGTGGCATCTGGGAGTCAGCGAGGAAAAACAGACATGACATTCCATGTTCAGGGAGGGAGGCAGGTTTTATATTTATGCCACATTAAGGTGAGCACAGAGGGCCTGTCGAATCAGGTAGAGGAGGATGGCAAGTCAGGGAAAGATGCACAGGAAGAAGTGATACCAAAGCCGAAACTGAAGGAATGAATAGGAGTTAGCCAGTGAGAGGGGAGGAGATGGAAAGAAGCACATTCCAGAAAGAAGGGATAATGTATCAGTGAGGGTCCAATCAGGAGAGAAAGCACTCAGCAATTTGAACAGCGAGAGTTTAATATCAAGAATTACTAACTCTAACAGTAGATCAACTATAGAGGTGAAAAGAGAAATCGCGAGAATACCCTCCAGTGGGACAATAGCCAAGGAAGGAGCAACTTAAATTGGTGGCTCCCCAAGGCTGGGATTAGAGCTCAGTGAAGAAGGTGTGGGTGCAGTTCACTGAGTTGCCTCCAACAGGCCAGAGCTGGTTCCCAGTCACGGAGCAAGCAGGAAATGCCCTGCAGGAGTGCAGGGAGCCCACTTCGCAGCAGAGCAGCCCAAGGCCTGGGCTGGCGTATCCATGTCCAGAAGGAGGCAGCAGACACCTTCGGGACACAGCAGAGTCAAGGCTGAGGGCTGGGTGCACAGAGGGAGGAGGTGCCAGGAGCTGCCTCCCCGGGGCATGGTGGCCATGTCAGGAGGGCCCCTGGCTGGGGTTGGCCTGCATGCTCTGGGAGAGCACAGCTAGAGCAGAGCACTTCGGGTGTTGGTGCAGAAGGAACAAGCAGCAGCAAAAAGTGGCACACCAGAACCTGGGCCAGGGCCACTCCTCAGTCTCCAAGAAGGCACGAGCAACCCACTGGGACACACATGAGTTGAGGTGGGCAGTCTGAGGAAGTCAGACATACAGGAGTCAAACTTCTCTGCCATCCGTTGGGCTCAACCACACCTCCTTCAACAAGGTTTGAACCCCCCTCCCGAGTTTGCCCTTTTGTAGGTACTCCCCTTCAGCCCTAGGGCACCCTTCAGAGTTCTCTTTCCATCTTAACAATTGTTCTCCTATCATAGCTTAATAATCCTTTATATTAAACTTCCACTGTTTAAATTACCATGTGCTACCTGTCTTCTGATTGGACCCACGTGGATACAGAAGCCGCAGAGGTGCACTGTTCAGATCTGTCATCAAGAGAACATAACGTGGAAGCACAGCTGAACTGTAGCCACCAGCTGCTCCATTTTTTGTCCACCACAAGGCTCCCACTGAGGCCTTGTGTCTGCCGTGCTGTGTCGAGCCAATGACTCAGCACAGAAGGGATACCAAGGCCAAGTCATTTCTGTCCTCATAGGACTCCTCTACAGGCAACCTCTGGATGGAGGCTCACCATCACAACCCCAAGGGCCTACGCTGTGATTTCCCTGCTGGGGCTTGCCCTGAGAGCCACGCTACAACTTTTCCCCACCACTGATGCCACTAACCCCATGGGGTCTACCAGACCCTGTGACCAAAGCAGGAGGGCTGCTTGAAGCACAGTCTGGACCGACTGCAGAACTCGTCTGCTCTCGGCCCACTTCAGTCTTGCATACTTTACTGTCACCAAGGTGTAAAGACAAAAGGAGTACTCCTAAGTGTGGGACAGCGTTTCTCAACCTTGTTCTGTTGACATATTGGTCAGGTAATTCTTTGTTGGGGGTCAGGAGCTGTCCTGTGTATGGTAAGACATTTAGCAGCATTCCTCATGTCTGCCACTAGATGTTAGTAGTAGCATCCTCAGTTGTGACAATAAAAATGTCTCCAGGCATTGCAAAATGTCCCCGGGGGAGCAAAATTGCTCTTCCATCCCCATGCGTTGAGAATCGCTGATGTTAATATGCTGCCTCCAGAACCCAGAGGCCAAGAAATCTGTTTCCTTCTTTGTGGAAAGGTATCAGGAGGCAATTTGTCTTTAACTTCTGAGGGAATATCCTGACATGCCCCTGACCCTGGATCG